CACTCATTCATCTCAAGCCGAGCCTCTGCCGATGGCAATTTGGAACCAAGAAATAGGTAACGTGAATACTTTAAAATATTGATTATAATTTGTTCTACGATACAGGAAACATGTATAGGTAGTTCTATCTAAAAATCTAAAACAAAAATAAAGAAATTTTGTAGGTGAATTGACTAATGATTTTCGATTTTTTGTTATGAATCGTTCCTCATGTATTGACTGTAATTTAAAGTAGAGGATTTTAGAAGCAATGATAGACATGTTTAGGTTTTTTTTCGATAATGATTGTACAGGTAGTTAGTAGATAGCTAGGTAGGGAAGCCGGAAGGAGAACTCGGAGGACTTTTGAAGACCAAGTGACTTTGTCAGGTCAGGTCATAAGTGTGAGGACTACTGACGACCAAGTATGAATATTGGATTGAGAGGAAGCGAAAAAGTTACGTAGAGGTTGAAGCGCTTAGCCCTCTGTTCTTAAAATGTTAAGTAGTTTGATAGAAGGTTGATATGAAAAATAAACTTCAAAAAAAAACACTTTTAAACAAGCGTAGGCTTTATAGGCACAAGACACGAGAGAGGCACAACTGTATTAAAGAAATAGACGTAGGTGAAGGTAAAATTATATAAACCTATCCAGAAATAAATATTAATTACACACAATTTTTAAAGCAGTCCGGTAAAAATACGGATCAATACCTAAAACTAAGTCATAAAATACTGTTAGAAATATTCGGCGAGGTCGCAACGGTCGTGATCGCATAAATTGTTGTTGTTTCTATCAAGAATCTGTATCCTGGTAACAAATGTCAAAGACACCTTTCTCAGAATACACAAGTTACCTTTTTACTTTGATTCTTTCATTTATTTCCGTAAAAACATATTTGTAGTAAGGCCATCTTGAACTTATTACTTAAATGTTGCCAATTGCCAAATTAAGCCTAAGTACTCATAATAAACTGCTTATTTGACCATGGATCATGCAGGTCTTCATAAAATTATAATTTTTTATATTTTTTTACTTTTATTCAATTATTTTAATTTAATAGACATTATTGGCAACTTAAGGAAGTCTAAATAATAGTAATTTATTAACATAAATAACAAAGAAATGTATGATGCAGTAGTAGCCACGTCTTTGGTTGTGTTGAAAGTAATTAGTATTTCACCACTGTCCCTCTGCTCGCGTATTGTTCAAGAATAATTAAGCGGATTTCAATGAAACTTTCTTTTAATTTAATCTTAATTTACGATTTACAGTAAAAATCATTTTATTTTAATCGACTAAGAATATCCAAAGATATTTTGAGCTGACAGTTTGAGTTTCTCGTAACTAGAAAATAAAACGTGGTTTATGAAATGAAGATACGCGCGCGTGAAGCTGTCGCGTCGGCCCAATAAATAATGTGTTTTTGTTATTTATCTAGTTCATCTAAATTCAATTTACCATAAAAGTCTCTAATGTCAAATAAGAATACATTACTTAAGAACGTATAGATATACATATGCGTAGGTGTGAATTTATTTTATTTTTATTCAACATATGTATAAAATTGGGTAATAAGTAAAGGGTTCTTTATAACCTAGTCCAAAACATTTCTGTCTATAAATAGAAATATTTGATTATTGTTGCTAGCTAGTAGCTACTGTCTGTGGCTTCGCATGCGCTTGTATATTTTACCCGTCAAACCCGATTTCAGGCCAAACTAGTTTATCCGAACGATTTTGAGGTATTATTCGGCTACAGTTTAGTTTATTGGACACGGCCTCTGGAGGAGTGGGTGATATTATTATGTTAGAGGCCCGACTTGGGATAACGTAGGCTGAGAAGGTAGGTTCTCGTTAGGTCTTTTTTTATTTCAAACCCAGAACCCCCAATATCATAAGTTAAGTTATAATTAAATAGTAAAAATAATTTCTGAGTCAAACTAAAATTAAAAATGAACTTTTTGTGCTATTTAATAGATTTCCCAGGTGTTTTATTTGTTACTTGCAACGATTCAATTAGTTCGGTCTACCAAACTAGTTAAGTCTAAAGTATTTAGGCCAAACTAGATTGTCCTGGACTAAACTAGAATATAATGACAAACTAAGGATGAGTCGGTTTGGCCTAGGACCAACTAATAATTACTCCCCCAACGTGCGTTTACCTTGTGATTAGCCCTCAGTAGTGCCCGGCGATCCTGCCGTGCGCGAAGCTAAGAAGCGCATAGGGAGGTGGCCCACTTCGGTGGGCGGTGTACCATGCGGGTTGCTCCTGGTACTTCTCTGATAGCAGAGTGGACTGTGGAGGAACCCCATGGTTATTGTGGTCTGCTTCGGCAGACCTACCGTGAGGGCGTCGTAGTTGAGTGCGTAAGCGATCCAGCGACGCCTCATTAAGACGGGGGAAGGTTTTGTTGAGTTTTAGTGGGTAGTACTGACTTTTCGAGCCGGCGAGTCCTACATAACCACCTGTGGACATGCGTAAATGCATTTCCCAACATTAAAAAAAATGGACTAATTTGGCCTGGAATCGGGTTATATCGGTAACATATATACATACTGCATTGCCTTTAAATATAACATAATACGTCTCTACTTTGGCATCGCTTCTCTTAGACGCGACCTTGTGCAATAGGTTTAGATAATATGTATATTCCACAGTAATGATTGGTCATCAAAAGTAGCTTATGTGACTTGACACTTTCTGATTATGTTAACGATCTCTATGAATAAAGTCACGCTGATACATTATTTGTTTGTGGTCATAAAAAGACAAACTTACACTTACGGGACATCATCAGAAAAGAAGAAAAATAAGTTTAATAGATGATGTTAAATATTTTTTATATAATTTATACGTTATACAACTTGATTGATGATTAATCAAAACTTAAAAAAAACCGACTTCCAGGCACTAAAACGTAAAAAATAACTAAACGGGGGATTTCATTTAGAATAGATATCTAATCAGTTTCGAAGTCGGTGCCAGCCGATGCAAAGCAAATCTAATATATTTTGATACGGTTTTTTTTTTGTTTTTATTTTTCCATTTTTAGTGTAGACGTAATAAGCAAGTAATTTGTAAGAAGAAAGTTTTTTAATTACATATTCGATTAAGCAAAAATATAAAAAAATAATATTGTGGATTTTTAAAAAACCCTTCGACTAATTTCGATAAAATTTAAATGGGACCACCTAGGAAGTGTACACTTCGAAACAAAAAAGTAATTCAAATCGGTTCAGGCGTTTTCGAGTAATCAGTGAACATACATAAAAAAAACAAAAAGATTCCGACGAATCGAGAACCTCCTCCTTTTTGGAAGTCGGTTAAAAATCAGGGCTTAGTTATTAGGCATGTCAACATTCTATTTAGGCCAAACAACAAAGTAGCCCAAAGAACTGACCAGGTTAGGTCGGTCCAGTTTATTTTAATAGGTAAAGATAAGATCACAATATGTAAAAATAATAAAGTATAAATAAATTAATAAGATAAATTCGTATGTACTTACTACCTCCAAATACATAATATAAATAAATTGGTTTGATCGAAATCTTTTTTTTTCGCGTGATCTTCTTAGGAAACTTAGAAAATGACTACTTTTTCAATTCTTGAATGTTTTCAAAGATGATCAAAAAAAACCATTCAAAAAAAAAAAATTTTACAATCAGTGTTTTACAACCTCGAGAAATTGAGTATTTTTTTTATTTCGAAAATTTTGTTGTTTTATAAGCTAGAATTCTACCCCCATGCTAAGAAACATTTTTGTTTCGCTCCACCCTAGTATGTAGTCTATCTATTCCATACTAACCGTTAAAATGTAAATGGTGAATCGCTCGTAATTTTATAAATTCTATATTTCTTTTGAACATTGAGGTAATGCACAAACTACAAACACATTAATAAATCAAGGTTATATTTTTCATTTATTTATTCAAAATAAATTAATAGACATTTATTTTTTATATAAAAGTAAAAACATAACATCTTGTTAAACTTACAATAATCTTGCTTGAAGGCTACTGGTTAATTCTTATTATATCTAATTATACTATAATGTACAATCTAAATAAATCACTATTTTATTTTACGAATCCCGACCATGAATAAAGCATGTTAAAAGCAAATTAGAAGCTTATAAAATTATAGTCATACCCTGCTGATATTGTCAATAATGTATCTTCCGAATCTGTATATTAAATTAATGACGATAATATTAATATTATTCATTTTTTTTTAGCTGAAAGCGATATGATGAAGTTCTTTCTGCTGCATTCCTTTTAAAAGCAGAGAGTGTTGATATACGGGATGAAATCTTTAGATATTTTTGTTCTGTTACGCCAAAGAAGTATAACTTCTTACGTGCGTACATAAATACATACACACACGTTTTTACTTATGCATGAAATACCTATATGAATATTTCGCAAATTTAAGTCATTATCTAACTTTAGCCCATTTAACAATCACTAACGTAGATGATGGCTATAGTATGGTATTATAAGGGATCTACAAGATCATATTATGAAGATTTTTTCAATTCAATTTCTCTTGGTAATTGGTTTAAAACGTGCCACAGATTACTTCGCAAATGTCACGTAGAATGAAGATACAAGAGAGATTGGTCGGTAAATTGAAACTCCATAGTTACAAAATATTTCACGTCAAGATATATTTTATAATTGAGTGTCATGGTTTTAATTTAGCAATATATATGTATGTATGCTACATCCATTTTAAATCTTAAAGTTAAACAATAACTTGATAAAAATTAATGATTCAATAGCTGTAGACTGTAATTTGTCAATTTTTGTATTTATAAGAATTTACTTAAAATTACTCGATGTACTATGAGAAATTTCGCGGCCAAATTTTATTTATTCTGCATAACATACTTACGTGCAAATGTTAAAGTGCGAAACGTTAGTTAGCTTTATTAATGAAAAAGATACATTTAAGCAGCATACCTATCTATTAATATATTATACACAAATCATGGAAATATTTATCACAATAAAAGTTACGAAGTTTTAGCAGAATCAGACTTTTCGTTACGATTAACGGGATTCACTTTGCACGTGATTTTATAAGATTCCACCATTTTAACGGAATCCCTTACTAAAATCGTCGAACGAATTGTGAAGGAATGTGCGAAACATACGGACACGTCGCACAAAGCCGTTTGGAAGCTCAAATATAGCCTGTAGTGTGTCTTATCCGTTCTATTCTTTAGTTTCATTTCAACTCGTCCAGGGAGCTTAGTGCCTTTGTGGGAACAACCAATGAACTCAAAATCATCTGTCGTCACATCCTTGTTATTCTCATCCCGTACACAAACATGCCAATTTTGGGGCGCTCCGGGCGTGAATTTAACGTTTTTCGTATCAGCGTCTAAACTCACATTGAAATATATAATTAGATTTCCACATTTACGATTTACGAATAAGTCATTTTTGTATAGAATTAAGTTCTCGGGTTCAGTAAACTTAGGGTCTGGAAGACGTACTTTGAATTCTTGGCACACGTTTTTGGCTAGATTCAGGATTTTGATACTGTGATTATTCGTGTCTGCTATATAAAGGTATTTACCATCGGAGCTCGCGGATAGGCCGGAGGGCTCATTAAATTTGGTCGGATCTGTTGTTTCGATCATTGTTGGATTTAGTGTGGTGACTTTTTGGTGTCCAATATCCACTTTTTTTATCTTATGATTGTACGTGTCTGCAATGAAAAGAGTTTTATTGGACTCGCAGTACGCGACAGCTAAGGGATGCTGTAGTTTCGCATTCACGCCTATGTCGTCGACGTCACCAAACGCGAACAGATTCTGAGAATACAAAGACAAAACGATTTATAAGTAAATCTATATATGTATATATGTTTGTATATTTATATAATAATTGATGTTTGTAGTTTGTACACCGCACCTCGTCATTACTTCTAACTCGAGGGTTTCCGGAACGGACCCGAAGCGAATCGAGGGAGAGTCGGCAGTAATATATAAAATCAATTAAAATTACCATAGGATTTCGATCTCCACCACACAGAGTGGACACTTGTCCAGTAGACAGCGCCAGTCGTCTAATAGACGAGCTCTCCGAATCCGCTATAAATATTTCGGGACTGGTGCCTGCACAAAAGTGTATATAGTTTAAAATCGATCTTTGATTCCCCGTCCAGAGTATTTTGAGATGAGTCTTATCTAAATATGTTGTGTGTGTGTGAAATGAGCTACAAATCTTATTGTATATCAGTTCTCCAGCGTTTACTTTTCCTTTTTATTTTCAAATCTTTAATATAAAAAATTCTAGGGTTTTTTGAAACTGCAATTGATAAAGTTTAAATAAAACGCTTCCACAATCTCCATGTGTTGCCCTCATCTTATACATTATCCCGAAATGCACTTAACTAAAACTAGGTGCCCCAAAGTTATCGGACCAATATTTTAAAGACGAAAATTTGTATGTATGTGTGTGTATATTTGGTACTCCTTTACGCTAAAACTGGTAGATTTAGGTGAAATTAAGTACACATACAAACTACAACTTGAGCAAATAGGAATCTGGGGGCGCACTTGAGCGAAGTAAGGTGCTAATATATCTTTAATTAATTATAATTGAAGCGGATTACAGTCACAATTTTATGGATTTTAATTTTTTTGCGCGGAACTCAGATTCTTTTTTCAAAATAGAAATAGCCTAACTCCTTATAACATCACTTATCTCTCAGTGAAAGTCCCGTCAAATTCGGAGACAAGCAATATTATTTATCTGTATCTATACTAATATTATAAAGAGGTAAAGTTTATGAGTTTGTGACGTTGTAGGGGGTAATCTCTGGAACCTGAACTGAACCGATTTAGATGAAATTTGGTAAGAAGATAATTTGAGGGAAATCATCCCTTAAGGGGGTGAAAATGGGGATGAAATTTTGTATGGGGATTATATAACAAAAAAAAAGTTAAAGTATCTCACCAGTGCGCAGCGCCAGGCCGGAGGGTTGCGCGAAGGCGGCGGTGGCGGGGTAGGCGCTGTTGCGCGCGCCCTCCGCGCCGCAGCCCGCCACCGCCGCGCACGTGCCTGCAACCGTGCGCCACTGTTACCACATACTACTGTAATGCCCGATCCACACGATTGCCCACGACCACTTGCCGCAAATTTCCTTTGATCTGTGCACTATCAGAACGGCCACAAGTGCTTACAAACTTACACAAGCCAGGCCAAGCGCCCTCTCTACATCCTTGAATTTGTCAAGCGTGTGGGCTGTGGATTCATCACAAGGATTTCGTATGATTTGTGTACAAAACTACACTATTGGAACGGCCACGAGCGCAAAACTGCACAAGCCATTAGCCAACCAAGCAACTTATTCACATGTTTGAATTTGTGATGCCTTGTCGAGGCTTGGCAAGTGTGTGGATGCGGAAAAATATAGAAATAGAAATGCCAACACTATGCATATATTAATGCAGTATATTCATACTACCCACTAAAACCCAATAGAACCATTCCCGTCTTAATATGAATCTGCAGGATCAGATCTAATCGCACACTCTTTTTTAACGTCGGTAAATGTATTTACGCACACCACCTGCACCGGTGGCATCACCGGCTCGAAAAGTCAGCATTACACACTAAAACCCAACAAATCTATCTTAATAGAGCGTCACAAGAATCAAACCTAACCACCCATTGGATTAACTAAGTCACTTATTAAATAACTTCATCGACTACCCACCAGTGGCGAAGGGTCCATACAAGACGTCTTACCTTTAAATTATTTTGCTATAATTTTACATACATTTAATTTTTTAAATGTATAAAGGTTCATATATACGAGTATATATATATATATATATATATATATATATATATGAACCTTTTTTTGTTGACGCTGGGGAAACCCATCATGGGGACCCTGCCCGCCGTCATAACGGTCAAGGTACTGTGAGACTCCTACTCACTAAAACCCATAGCGGAACCCGTCGCCGTAGTGGAATGGGGCGTTGCAGGATATATATATGAACCTAAACTAACCATATATAATAGCTTTATTTCTTTCTGCATTAATACGTATATAAAAATTGTATATTTTTGGAACGGCCTGTTTCTGCTAAAATTTCACCCTTCGCCACTGCTACCCACCCACCCATTGTGATTTTGTGTTACAAAAATCACAAATAGCAGATAATAATGACCCATATTTCATATTTTTTAAAGGAAATATTCTGCAATGAGTACAAAGAGGTAATCCTTACGTTCATAAATCGTGCGTAGTAATAACAGTACTATATTAAAGGTTAAAGTACTCGTAGGTAAATTATATTATAAGAAGTTATATAATATTATTGACTTCATGTTTTTCCTGGTACTATTATAATAGATTTAAATTAGATTTCTTAGAAGCAATAGTAAGAGGAAAATAAGCTCATAATATCTAAAGATTAAAATGAAATAACATTTTTAAAATATATTTTTTTTTGTAGAAAAAGAGGCACAACATATATAATGCATACTTTATTAATATTTAAATATACTTTACCTTCAGTAAAAGCCTTGTATTTCCACCAAATAGTGTTGTCAAGGAACAGTGCCCAGATCTGGTGCGAGCCGGCGCATGCGATCAAGAGCACACGACGTTTCTCATCTTTCTTGTCCTTTTCTTAAATACACAAAAAAACAAAGATAACTATTTTATTCATAATGTATTAACTATCGTCTATCAATAATAGCAATAGCTTTAAAATATTAAAGAGCAAAAAAATAATATAAAATAATGATAGAATATGTTCGTGTTCTAAATGAACTTTTGAGGTTTTCTTGATATTTGTCGCAGTTCACAGACACAATATTATGTGACACATGACGTTTTTTAATTACCATGTTATACTATTATTATAATTCGTATTGTATTTGTATTTTTTGTAGCGTTACTGCTGGGCACGGGCCGCGCTGGCGAAGTGAGGGCAGAATACACATGTATTTCGAAAACTTGCTAGGTTCTCTCAGACATGCAGGTTTCCTCAAGATGTTTTCCTTCACCGTAAGGCAAGAGATAATTATGTTATAAATAATTATTCCTTGAAAATATCAGAGGTGCGAGACCCCGGATTTGAACCCGTTTAATTCGGTTTCCCAGGCGAGTGCGTTACCACTGGACCACCACTACCGTAACTTCTATTCAAATCGATTTAACCATTATATAATTAAAATATTTAGGGTTAATAAAAAAACAAATGAATAAAAAAGTGTAACGTATTTTTTTTAATGATGGGAAATAAATATTTATGAATGTAAATAAAAAAAATAGGGGAGAGTGTACGTAATTCGAAAAGCAATTAGCCTAAAACCAACTACAGATCCTATACAGAACTATAAATCCAAAGTCCTATACCGATAAGTTCAGTCCTTCGTTAATCGTCCTTGCAGGCTAACATGCCGATAGCAGGCTAAACGTATTGTTTTACCGTACCTTTATTCTCCTTATCGTCCTTTTCTTTTTCCTTATCCTTCTCCTTGTCCTTATCCTTCTCCTTATCGGTGGAGGCGGGCACGGGCGGCGGCGGCGGCAGCAGCGGCCGCACCGACATATCCATATCGGGTGTGGTGTACAGCAGTATGTCCCATGGAGAAGACAACGCTTGAAGGCCGAGGCATTTACCGCCTAGAAATTAATACTTGAATCATTTATTTAAGTAATGCTTAGTATATGAGGTGATAGAATTTGAAATTTGGGCTACGTCTGAAAAAGGATTGAAAAATACCTTGTTTGTATTTAAATTTAATTACATCTAGCGACTTACCGTCGCTTCACTCGCGTGCGTCTCTAGGTACGTTTTAATTATATTGGGCAGAACCCTAATTATTTTTCTAAAATAAAGGTAGTCTAAGTTACTCCTTATATTTTATAACATTAGCTATCTGCCAGTGAAAGACTCGACAAAATCGGTCCAGCAGACAAATAAATAAGCTGTCAGACAGACAAAAAATTTTAAAATTGTGTTTTTCTTATGTATACTATATATAATTCTATATGCATTTAGTAAAAAGCTGTTATTTTGACATTACAAACAGGCACTTCAATTTTATTAATCTTAGAAATGAAGGGTCAGAAGTTTAAGGCTGTATTTTTTTAAATCAATCACACTAATATAATATAACAATTAATGTGAATGAGTGTTTTTGTTATTTCCTCACGATATGTTAACATCTCCAGGTAAATTTCTAAGAAATTAATTAAAATTCTAAGAATCTATTGTTAACTGACACGGCGGCGTGTCCGCGGTTGTGGAGGGAAGTTTGTGAGTTTGTGACGTTGTAGGGGACGTTGATTTAGATGACATTTGGTAAGAACATAGTTTGACTAGACCCTGGGAAGGACATAGGATACTTTTTATCCCCAAAATCATCCCCTAAGGGGGTGAAAATGGAGATGAAAGTTTGTACTGGGAAGCAAGCTAGGGACGAACCCGAGTGAAGCGAGGAAGAGTCGCTAGTCTGGATAATAAATATATAAATGACCTTGATCCCCCCCTTGCGCTTGCGTGCCAGTTCCTGCTAGAATCTCCACGGTGCCCTCATCCAAGTGTACAGCGCGCAGCGAGTGGTTGTCCGTGTCACACACTACCAGCACAGTGCTAGACAACCAGCACAGACCTTGTGGGGAGCTGAACTGGGCTTCGTTTAATTCTGCATTAATAATAAAAACATTATTGGAAAATATAATCACCAATCAATAATGTATCTTTAACATAACACATTTACTGAAAACCAATTAAGTTTTTGTTTAACTCAGTAACCTTTTCATTTTATTATCATTAATAAAAAAGTTAAAAACTTAAATATCTGTTCATACGTTTGGAACATTTCTTTTTATTAACAAATAGTGACTTACCCTCGCTTCGCTCGGGTGCGTCCCTATGTGTGTTTAATAAAAGTAAAAGTAGCCTAAATAACTTCTTATAACATCAGCCATCTGTCAGTGAAAGTCCCGTCAAAATCAGTCCAGCCGTTTCGCAACTTTAGCCAGAACAAACAGACAAGCAGACAAAAATTTTTAAAATTATATTTTTCTTAAGTACTGTATATAATTTCATATGCATTAAGTAAAAATCTGTTATTTTGACATTACAAATAATCACTTCAATTTTATTAATCTGCATAGATTAACAATATTGTCCAGAAACTTGCATAATTTATAATATATTATGACCTTATTTTAAATATTAATAAAATAATGATAACATACTGCCATCTTTAAATCCAGATTCTGGTCCGCCTATAATGCGCAAAATGACTCCCGCGCAGTCTGTCAGTAGCACGCGATGATGGCCAGTATCTGAGATAGCTAGGAAGGGTTCTTCACCTCGCCCACGGTAAAACGGGTTCAATGCCAACTGTAAAAAAAATAATAATTTTGTTTTAATTATTCTATACAGGTAAATAAAATTGAAATTTCTGTCCATTTGTTCTTGCTAACCTCCAAACGGCTGGACAGATAGTTGGAGTTATAAGGCGTAACTTAGGCTACCTTTATTTTTAAAAAATAATCAGGGTTCCGCGCAAAAGAATTAAAACCCATGAAATCGTGAACAAAATCATACCTATAAACGCACCCGAGCGAAGTGAGGGTAGGTCACTCGTAGAATATAAATAACACAGTATTGAAATATTTATTATATAGGTATATTGTCATAATCTATAACTCTATATGTGAATCAATCAATATGATCCATACTAATATTATAAATGTGAAAGTGTGTTTGTTTGTTTGTTTGTCTGTCCTTCTTTTACGTCGAAACGGAGTGATGGATTGGCTTGATTTTTTGTGTGGAGATGGTTGGATAGCTGGAGAGTGATATAGGCTACTTTTTACCGCGGGAGATTATCTAATTCCCACGGGAAAACACGTTATAATATAACCCAAAAAAAAAATTATGATCAGAATTACTTGAAACTTAGTATGAATGCTCTTCAATAAAATTAAACAAATACGTGAATTAGAACTCTTCGAAATTCATTCTATAAGGGGGTAAAATAGGAGATGAAAGTTTGTATGAAACTACCTATTCAGAGATTTTTTTTTCGTTTTAACGCGAGCAAAGTCGCGGGTTCTGCTAGTAAGAAATAATTGTGTTCAAAATATGACATAATGCAGCAGGTATTTTTAGATACTTTCTTTATACAATATATTATAAACTTTTAATTTTTTGTTTTTAATTGATATTTAACATTTGATTTTAAATTATAGTTTATTGACACATACTATTAGCATAATTTAAATGACTACAAACCTTACTAGGAAAATAAAGTGTGTTGTTTTCCTTAGCTTTTATATGAGAATTAAGAGATATTGGTAAAGGAACATTTGAGAGTCGAGAAGTAAAATGTCGTAATGACACAGTAACATATTGAAGAAGTTCATTTCTATGACCTTCTCCAGTTAATATGAATATTGGTCTATTGTCTGGACCTGAAACAAATTGTAGATATCACTATAATAAAAAAATATTAAAATAAAATAATAGCATTTTTAATAAAACTATCTTTTCGATTATTTTCACAGATACAATATGTATTAACTCGCATAAATCTATGAAAGTATTGTCAAATAATAGCATTATTGTAGCCATATTTGAAAGAAATGAAAAAATGTCTTTTTCACTTCTTACAACTTTAGATTTCAGCATCCAGATGCTATCCATGCTTTTTTGAAAGATATACTGAGTTACAACTAAAAACTTACAATGTTGAAACTTGAAATAACTAACTTTATTTTAATTTCTCACCTAAAATAAGAAGAGTTGGCCAACATCTGATGCCTAGAGTCTCCCACATACTACTATCCAAATCATTAACAACAGGATGATGTATATCGTATCTCTGAACTGCTGCAATTACATTGCTAGATATTTTTTCATTTGTAAATTTTGCACAATGTACACCAATCTAAAACAATTACATAGTTACAATACCATTCGCATATTAGAAAGTATTTGTTTACATAACATAAAACATTTACATATTATGAAAACAAAAAATAAATTTTAATTTATTTTAATAATTATTAGCGATTCACCCTCGCTTTGCTCGGGTTTGTCCCTACATATGTTTTCACAGTCAGTATGGAATAGATAGACTATATATTATAAATATATAAATATATTATACATAGGTATGATGAGTTGTTGTGAGTAGTGTTACAATTTGTTTTTCCAAGGGAATGAGATAATCTTCTGTGGTAAAAAGTAGCCTATGTCACTCTCCAGCCCTTCAACTATCTCCACACAAAAAATCATGCCAATCTGTTATTTTGTTTAGACATTAAATTATGACAAAAAAACAAACACACTATCACATCTATACATATAATAAAACTGTAGAGGTTGAATTGAATTGTCTGTACATAGAAATAAATGCTAAAAACCAAATCAGGGTGTAAGAAGAGAAATAGAACAAATCCCATTTTTTTTTCAAAATTTTTATTTGTCTGTTTGTATCTGCTAATCTTCGAAACTGTAGAACCGATTTAAATAAAATCTTGCATTGTGGTACCTTATATGCCCGGTCAACATTTTAGATACTTTTCATCCCTGAAAATTACAGAGTTGCCGTGGGATAGTTAAAGAACTATAGTAACTTATACAGCTTAGTATACAAAAACTACTGATTGGATTTTGATGAAACTATACAATAATATAGTTTATACATCAGAATAATAAATAGGCTTCTTTTTATCCCAGAAAAATGTACAGTTACCGTGGGAGAGATTTGTTTCTGTTTGCCTAAATTAAAACAAAAACATACTATAGCAAGTCCACTTTCTGGTTTAAACTGTTTTTCAAGATAAGCTAAATCTGGCAGCACGTGATAGCAGTTTATACAGCAGTATGTCCAAAAATCTAAAACAACCACTTTGTCCATACAGTGCTGGCTCAGGGAAATTGGTTCATTTACATTGATCCAATCTAAATCTGAAATAAAGATGAATAAAAAATAACTAAAATTTATAGCAATCTATAATAATAAATATATATATATATATATATATATATATATATACTTTTCTAGACATAAAATCTTTATGAAAATTACTTTTCTTAAAATCTTCTACAGGTGGGACGAGTGCCCAAACTTTTTTGATATGATTTATTATAAGTGCATCTCCTTCAGCTTCACTGCTTACAGAATCAATAGCTTCAGTTAAATCTATACAAGCTTGGGCAACATAGTCCAGATGACTAGACTCCATACTTTAATATAAGTTTATTTTTTTATATTTAAATTTCCAATGAACAGTTATTGCTCTGGTTACAATATTGAATTACACGTCTAACTCTTGTCTCTTAGTAATATTTTGTACTAAAGATAAGGTTAATGATATCTATGATTATAGTAAATACGTCATTTAAAAATAAATTAAATTAAACAAAAAACTTTAAAATATTATTCATAATATTTTGGTAATGTTTAGAACAGAGAATTTCTTTCTTCGATTTTCATATTCATTTTCAAAGATGAATTGTCAAAACACAAGTTGAATTTTGAAGTCACATATAATCAGCAATATACTCTATGATATAATCTATGGAGACCGGACGGAGGGTAGACATTGACATATCCGTTAGGATTATATATATTCTGTGGTAAGCATGGAGTACTAACTCTGCGATGAAAAAGTGTCCCTCAAAACGCGTTCAATAAGGATGGCGCTGCGGTAGCGTATGATAAATTGTAAAGGAAGCGCCAAAAGTAATTAGAGTAAACTAGAGAAATAAATAAGGATGCTATATTTCCTAAATTATTTTAGACTACGTAAATAGTTGAAGTTTTGAATACTGCTATTTCATTAACTACGTAAGTCATGAAAAATTTTAAATTTTTGAACTCAGCACACTTCACTCCGTCCACAGCAGCTAAATTCATATCATTGTTGTTTTTCGTTCGCCAGCGCCGTCTATTTTCAGTATACAGGTGGACAATTTTTAAAGTTGTCTCCCATTTATGAGACTCCATAGTAAAATTGTGGCTCACAAACCTTTTTATTCTGATTTTTGAATTTTTATTTTCACATATCCATATCGTTTGTTCTTGATTGTTCGCCATAAATAATTTTTTGCTTGGTTAATTTGAGGGTACATTTTTGTTTAATTATTTTTATAAATAAACAATATACAAACAAACAATTATGTAGGTAAGGTCATTGGTGAAAAAACGACGAAGACGCGAAAAATGAAAATAAAAATTCAAAAATCCAAAAAAAAAAATACTCAGAGGGGCCAGGTTTGATGAGGCGAAAATCGTAGTATATGAGTACAGATGATGATTATTATTATAATACTTTATAGTTTATACTATACAAGTCGCTAGACGTTAAGTTTATTCTTTCATTTCTTGCTTATGGAAGTTACAATTTTAAATACGTTTCTTTCTTTCGTGTAGAAAATTACATTTTCACATTTTAACTACATACTCATTTCTATTTATGATTTCGATTTTATAAAATTAGTCAGCTGTTGAGTGATTACTATGGATGACAAATAAAAGTGCGTAGTGCGTACCATAAAGACTTATTTGTCAATTCATTCACTTTCAAGTTCCTGTCCATGACACTCCATGTCGTTACGACGTGAACGGCAAATGACATGTTTACAAAACATAACAATAAACACTATTCTATCTACGTCTTGATTTGTTTCTGAAGTTCAGTTCTTTGTCAGCTGTTCTGTTTAACTTAAAGCTAGTGTAAATTATACTGCAAAAAAGTTTTGTAAATCAAAGTTTTGTAAAAATTATGTTCAAACATGGATGCCATGTTTGATATTTGTTATCTTACGCCTGATGGTAATAATGTCGAACCAGACGACATTCCTAAAACAAAAGAAAACGTTTGGATATTAGGGAGAAAATATAGTGCAATTCAAGGTAAATATCTAAAGGAAATACGGTAAATTGTTAATAAAAAGGTCCATAACTTTTATTTCATTTTTAGATTTGGATCGCATACGGCGTGATATAAGTTCAATTATTTGGTGTACTTATAGAAAAGGGTTTGTCCCTATAGGAGATGAAGGGCTAACGTCAGATAAAGGATGGGGTTGTATGTTGCGATGTGGACAAATGGTACTTGGAGTAGCATTGGTTAGAGTTCACTTATCTACTGACTGGGTATGGACACCAGAAACAAGGTATTTTATTTTAGTTATTATTTAATGCTCATAAGTATTTTATACATAAATAAATATATTTTGTCTTTGTATAAGTTACCATATATGTAAAATCATCTTGTTATACATAAATACAATAAGTTAAAAGACAAAAAATATTTCTTGGTATAGGTATATTGTACCATAATATTTGTAGGGATCCAACATATCTAAAAATAGTTCAGAGGTTTGAAGAGAGAAAACAAGCACCATATTCAATACATCAAGTAGCACTCATGGGAGCATGTGAAGGAAAAGAAGTTGGTCAATGGTTTGGGCCAAACACTATTGCTCAAGTTCTTAAGTAAGTATTTTATTACTATTATTAAAATTAATGTTACAGAAACAACTTCCTAAGAAAAGATAATATTATAACCATACTATGTATTATTATATATGAATTTTAAAAGAAAAAAAGAACACTAAAAATATGGAATATTGTATATAACATGACTCATATTTATTACATAATTTCCAGAAAATTAGTTGTATACGATAAATGGAGTTCATTGGTCATCCATGTTGCACTAGACAATACTGTTGTGAAGGAAGATATCTGTAAGTGTAAACTATATATACTATATAAGATGACATTGAATAATATTATTAGAATTGTTTTAGATGGAAAATAAGAGAAAGATACACAAGATCACAGTATTTATTTTCACATCTATACAGATAACGAAAATTGAACTGTCCATTTGTAATGTCCAAATAACAGCTTTTTACTAATTGCATATGATATTATACATATACAGTACTTAAATGTAAAACACAATGTTTCAAATTTTTGTTTGTCTGTCTGTCTGCTAAATGCATATGGAATTCTAATATATGGTAAGTATTTATTAGAAAAACACAATTTTGAAAATGATTGTACGTCTGCTGTTTGTTCAGGCTAATCTCCGCAATGATTGGACTAATTATTGATGGTACTTTCACTGGCAGATGCTGGGCTGATGTTATAAGGAATGATTTAGGCTACTTTAATTTTAGAAAAAGAATTAGGGTGTTTCTCACAAAAATTAAAACTTACCTAGGAATGCGTCTAGTATAATACAATATAAAGTGGTATAATGTTTGTATAAATGGGGGAAACCACTAAAACTACTCATCTGATTTTGAAAATTGTTTTATTAATAGGAAAGCAGCTATATAACCACAAAGTGCTATAGACTTTTTATTATGATGTATTTATTGTCAGAAATAATAATTACTTTAATTAAAGTTGGAAAAAATGGCTGTTTAGGTTCATTATATGCTCTTGTTAGGTGGTAAGGGATGCACCCGAGCAAAGCGAGGATAAGTTAAGCTGGTTTTAAATAAGTATACAAGAAAAAATATTTTTGTCTCTGTTTTACATGAAACAGTTATATTTTTATTTAAAGTTTAAAAATTGTTATTATTTAACAAATTACAGTAACATTTCATTATTCCAATTTAATAAAGCATCTTTACCACATGCTTATTATCTCATTAAGTTGAGAAATGTATTCCTTTTATAACAGTACAGCGATGCAATGTGAAGAATGACAGAGGGGACTCATCAAACAATCCTGATAATGGCATAGAGGCAGATTGGATGCCTCTTTTGTTAATAGTACCTCTCAGACTGGGACTGAGTGAAATAAATCCAATATATATAGATGGGTTGAAGGTAAGGCACATGTTTTAAACTTATATCATCTGATCTAAACACAAACAAAAAAAAAGTTGTTCATATAAATATCAATAGATGATGTTACATGTATCTTTATGTTATTAAAGTTTTGTTAAATAAACAAAAAATAAAGAAACAGATCCAAAAAAGGTGTATTATTATTTCATATTTCATTTCACTTAGAATATTTGTATATAAATATTCTAAGTGAAATGAAAAGAAATAAAAATTTGAAATCAAAGGGTAATTGAAATATCATCAATCAGATGATGGGTTTGTAGTGTATATTCACAGTTGACGGTTTTATTTTTTATGAAGTATTTATCGTAGTAAAAAATTGTTAATTTTTTTTTATTTGAATACAGGCTGATTATTACAATATTAAACATATGTTAGTTACATATAAAATAAAACAGTTCAAATATTTGCGAATCAACGACATCTATTACCTATTCAAGCAAACTAAAGTAGGCCAAATCAGCGCTAGTATAGTATTAAGTGATCTGTACTTATATTATTACTCAAAAATCGTCACAATTTTTTTAAATATATTTAATTACACCATTGAAGTATATATTTTTATTTACTTGTAATATAAAAATATACCATACTTCAATGATATGATCATAGAAAATAAGTTAGTAATTTTTAAATAACATGCTTTTTATTTCATACAAAATTTTTTTAGTCATTTCACTATAAAATCTGTTTATCTGTGAAATTTCTTGCTGTATTAACTGTTGTACATTTTTAAAAATTAACAAAGTGAGTGAGTAAGCAATTGTGATATTATAGTTATCAAGTATTTACCTAACATATTTAGTATAACTCATAAAATATTTGTTTCCAGATATGTTTCCAATCACAACAGTCAATTGGTGTCATAGGTGGCAAGCCAAACCAGGCTCTTTATCTTATTGGCTGTGTAGAAGATGAAGTGATCTACTTAGATCCACACACCACTCAACGGTCAGGTTTGGTTGAAGTAAGTTATATATACAGATAAAAAAAATTAAAGTGCCTGTTTGTAATATCAAAATAACTGCTTTTTACTAAATGAATATGAAATTATGTACGATACTTATAAGTTTTTTTTTATTATTTTTGTCTGTCTCTGCTAAATGCCTATGAAATTATATATGGTACTTATAAGAAAAAACCATTTTTATTTTTTTCCGTCTGTCCGTTTGTTCCGGCTAATCTCCGAAACGGCTGGATGGATGGGACTTTCACTGGCAGATTGCTGATATTACAAGGAGTAACTTAGGCTACTTTAATGTTAGAAAAAGAATTAGGGTCCCGCTCAAAAAAATTAAAACGTACCCGACCGAAGCGAGGGTAAGTCGCTAGTTTTAAATAAAATATATCTTTTGGGGTTTTTTTTATTTATTTTGACCATGATTATTGTAAAGCATTCGAAACGTCGCCGCGTCGGGTACCTAAAGTAAAAATAAATCCGCGCAAAAATCCTAAAAGATAGTTTTATTTAAAATGTTCTAGTCATTTGGTTAAATAGTGTTAAGGAAAAATAAAAATAAATTGCTACAAGTCCCCAAATTTCTTTAATGTCACTAGAATTATATAAAATAAGAATGTTTTATATTGCATTATAAATTCGGACTTAATGAGAAAAGTAAACCTATCGTTTTCAGAACAAACTTACAGATGAACAAAAAGAAATGGATTGTACTTATCATTGTAAATTTGCATCTAGAATACCAATGTTGTCTATGGACCCTTCTGTTGCAGTGGTAAGTCTTTAAATAGGTTTCTTTTTTTTAATTTTCATTTATCAATAGAATCGCTAATCCTACACAGATGTAAAATAGATTTGATATGTCTGTTTCTATTGTCAAAATAACAGCTTTTTAATAAATACATATGAAAGGATATATGGTACTTATAATAAAAAAATCAATTTAAAAATTTATGTCTATCTATGACTGTTTGTTCCGGCCAATCTCCAAAACGGCTAGACTGATTTCGACGCGACTTTCACTGGCAGATAGCTGATGTTATAAGGAGTAACTTAGGCTACTTTAAGAAAAAGGATTAGGATAACGCACAAAAAAAAATCACGAAATTGAGAATAAAATCCGCGTACTTAGAGACGCATCACGCAGGTAGTGAAGCCAGTGTAAGTCGGTAGTATTATGTAAATCATACTATTTATTTTTTTCAGTGTTTCTTATGTAGAACAAGAAACGATTTCAATGAGCTATGCGAAACAATAGAGAATAAATTAATGAAGGAAAGTCAACCTTTATTTGAAATCTGTGAGCAGCGGCCTGCTCATTGGGGACCTTGCAACAATGACATTGATCTACAAAACACTACACTTTTTACAGGTATATTAAATTGTTTTAATGCATATTAATAGCTTAAAACAGAAGTAATGAATTTAACACATTATATTCTTTCAGAATTTGAAGAAGTTGACAGACAGTTTGATGATTCAGATAATGAATTTGAGATTCTTTGAAGGTTTCCAATTATTATGATTTTACTCATTTGAAGAAAATTCTATATATCACATTTAATTTAATTTTAAGGCTGTAATACACAACTCGTGCACTGTAAGAGCAGTTTTAGGTTTTTATATAAGTAATTAATGTTGTGTTCCAGTTTTCAGTTTAATAAAATTTTGTGTCTTACCAGTATGTAAGGAAGCTTTTGTGCCTAAAGATTGTAAATGTAAGCAAATGATGCTTAATCCAACTAATTCATAAGCAGTTATGGTTTACAGTGCCTTGAATTATAAATAAATGTGCAATGTTAGATTAAGCTTCCGGCTTCAAAGAATAATTAATTTCGATATATCTTATTGATCTGATGAGGGATGACATTATCCCTTTACTCATGTCTCATATTGCCAAATCTAGTCATTGTGTAATCGTGCACACTTGAAGAATATTTTATATATTAATTATCGGTTATAGATAATTCCAGTATCATCCCCACTACCAAATATTATATTCATTGGTTCAATAAAACTTTTTACATATTATTATTACACAATTCTGATAGGGGAGATGAATAATATTTATGCTGCCTTCGTAGCGCTCCAAAACTAAATACAAAAAACTAAATTTGAATATTGCAAGGAAAATTTACGCCGAGGTCCATGATGTTTTTGAAAAGCTAGATTGTTAATTAAATGTAAAGTTTTAAAATAAATAATGTAGGCTGTCAGCGCAAATATGGTTTAACCAGCATTATTGTAATGATTTCAATGAAGTATGCATTACAGATTATTACTTTAAAATCATATTAATAAGTAGATTAAAAAATGTACATAATAAACATAACTCTAAATAGCACATTTTTAATAATCATCTTCGCCAAGTTTTTGCTGAAAGAGCCATAATTATCATACTTTAGACAAAGATTTTATATTCGATAACAAAAGATGTAATAAAGATTGATTATTAAAATTGGTGAGGTGAAATTTTACTTTTTTTATTTTTAAATACCTAATGGATATTACAGAATGTTTTGGGTTCTTAATAATGCCAATGTCATAGCCTCATGGGGTATTGTAAATAAAGTCCAAATACATAATAAAATGTCATTCATTTTCACCTGTTCATTTTTATTACTCTTCATAAATGATATCTACAGAATATACACACAATACTTAATATATTCGGATATATACATGCAAAAAATTCAATTAATAATCATGAGACCCATCATAAGATCATGGGTAAGCAAATTCAGAAATAACTTTCCAGCTTAATTTAAATTGTAAATTCGAGAATGTAATATACACAGTAAAACAATTTGTACATACCTGTATATGATTACCAAGCTTGAATTGCCATAAATAAAAAATAATAAAATAAAATTTCGCTTTTTGTTAGTACCTACATAATTTTTCATACTAAACAAATTTGATATTATTGAAATTGAAATTGTAAAAATTGAGTACTTAACAATATTGATGTTATGGTAAGTTGAAAATATAATAGTTGTTCAAATATTGGAAGCATTGCTGGTCGAATTTTAATAAATTGGAGTCCAGCTTACAGCTAAAACTTATCTGAATTTTATTTCGTACGATAATTATCAAAATTTATTATTATTTTCTTAACTGTGGTAGGTACATTCATATTAATAGCACATTTGTAATACAGAACCCGTCTTTAAACGTGCTTATTTTGCATCAATTAATTATGCTGGCCAGTAGAATGCACTAATTTCATAAAAACTTTATTATTATGGCGCATATACGTTTAAAATGTCTGGAAACAATCCCTGACGTTAGTCTCAGAAGCTAGCCCGTCTGTATATTCTGTATTCGAAATTTAATCAGAGAATCGTACATACATGACCATCGTCATGTATTTTAGGCTTAAAAATCTTAAAATACCTATATTTTAAGCATAACCGTATTGTTCTTGACGTAATTAAAATCATACCTGCCGCATATGAGATGATCAGTAGCACAACGACTGCAGCGCCACCTACTGGGTCCATTCGTGTTTTCAAACCTTGGAGGGAGCCACTCGAACAGACACAAAAATATCATTAAAATCATTCCTGCTGTTTAGATAGTCAGTGGCACACCGACTTTAACGCCACCTACCAGGTTCAATTGTGTTTTCATACCATCCAGGAGCCCATTGAAATAAACACACAAAATTTCATCCAAATCAGTCTAGCCCTTGAGGAGGTTAACAAACACACGTACAGAAGAATTATATATATATATTAAGATGTGTTAAATAGTCGAATAACTAATATAAAGAACAATTAAGTTAAAAAACCGCAGTATGGACTGGGATTTGCCATTGGCTTCCGTAGGTACTCTTCGATACCCCATAAACGATTAGTTTAAACGCATAAAAAATCGTGTAATACAAAATGTGTAGAGAATTTTATACTTTACAACTTTTATAATAAATGCAAATACGATTTGAGGCAAAGGAAGCGAGGTATTTCCAAAAACTCATTTTCGCGATCCTCACACGTGACCATATGACATTTAGAATGCCAAAATAAAGGTTTTTACAATTATGCAGGTTATTTATTCAGTTTCATTCTGAGATTGACTCCTTTTTTACTTAGCTTTCTTGTTAAGATAAGCTTTAGTTTCATATTTTGCATATTTTATATTATGTTTTAGGATAAAGGATGTTCAAGGAACACCTAGGTTTACTGCGGTATAAAAAAAAAACAAACAAAAAAAATCAATGTTAAACTATGTTCAAATATTTATATCACACAAAAAATAGGTAACTTTATTTAGGAATACAAAAATATTTATATTTATCATCATAATATATTTCATATTTGGTACTTAATTCTATCACAACAAAAGTAGTAGTAGTTTTATTCAATATACACACACATATTGCACTAACAGTGAAATACCAATGACTAGCAAAAAATGGTATAAATTTAATTTCAACTATGGCTAAGTAAAGCTTGGGAAAAATGCAATTTAATATTACATACATAGAATTTGGAAATAATAAGTGTTATGTTCGAGGTGAAATTGTTATATATATTCTCCAATTAAATAAAAACAGCTCCAAAATCATCATATAACACTACAATATTGCACTTAATACAAAATCCTATTTAACGACATCAAAAAAGAAACAATGAAAAACTTAGTGCTAGCAATTTTAAATAAATCAAAGCGCAAAAGCTGTTGATAAATATGAAATGCAAAACAATTAATATATTTAACATTAACAATCTCTGTAACAAAATTTTACATTAGTAAATAACGTAATATTGGATAATATATTAGAATTCAATAACTATTCCAATATTGAAATATAATCAATGTATTTTGATAACTATACTGCTTTGCTTGTGCACATGCACCTGTTATAAAGACAAAAATAAATCGTGTGAACAAGCCAAGATAATATATAAGTTATGAAAATAGGGTATTATAAATTTAGTCCAATATTTAATCTTTATGAAATATTGTACTAGAATATTCATATTAAGTACATATAAACAAAACTTTAGTGTCACTTTTTAATTAACAATCACAACCACCCATAGTTAAAATTTTAAATATAATGTTAATACTTACTATATACATAATTTTTCCTCAAGAGATTTATTTACATATCAAATTTTTATAAAATATATATCATAAATCTACCACATTTATTATCATAATAATGATTTAGTCTATGACATTTAAAATGGTAAACATTTATAAAATTTTTAGCAATAATCAGATACTTGTAAAATATAGTTTAAAATTAGGCTATATTGCCTTGTACACTGTATGTTATTATAGTTTATTTATCTATACATATTATAATTCTAACTGAGTCGAATCTGTACATTAAATATTTATTGGAAAATCTTATTGAAATAGTCATTATTATCGATACATATGATGAATCTATATTTTTTAGAATTTTTGTCTCTCTGTCTGGGACCATCATGCAAAAACCACTGGAGGGATTTTAATGAAATTTGGTATGGTTCTGGTTATCCAGGTCAACATATAGGATACTTTTTATTGCACTAAAATATCTCAACTTTGAAAAATCTATACTAAACGCCAAAACGTATGGCCGAACCCGAGCGGAGCGAGGGTGAGTCTCTAGTGTCTGATATATTTGTACAAGTGACAAATGAATGTGACATGTTTTAAGTTTTACATACACATGCATAATCTTGTTAAGCTAACAAATTATATATTAACTAATGTCATTAAAATCGTATGAAATCAAAATTACAATGATAGGGGACCATTTGTAAATACATTACATAATAAATAGCCATCAGTTACGAAAAATAAATATTATATAGTTTTTTATCTATGAATTCTTATAAAGTAACATCCTATCCTCTAAAATGTAAGGTTCACATAATAAACTGCACTTTAAAAATAAAAAAAATACTGTGAAATTTTACAGGATGGCTATAATTTTTAATACAAATTCCTTTTATTTTGTAATATCTTGATTGGGTTTAGGTATTTTCAAAATATTATACATAATAGGGAATATGCATGTGATTTAATTAAAGGTGAAATATGTTTTAATGTAATTTCTATTTAATTAAGAAAATAATTATTAAAAAGTGAAAATATAAGTGGAAAATTCAAAGTAGTCGAAACGCTCGCCAATGGTCAGATTGAATATGACGTCAAAATATTAGTATAACAGAGCGATTAGAAATGTTGTTGTTACAAACTAGTCATCATTTTTCTATTTACGTCACACCAAGCGCGCGAAATGGAGGGCCTTTAAAGTATCCATATCGGTATTATATTCTTTTTATACTTAATTTTAGTTTTTGGAGCTGCATACTTTTTTTACAATTGTTTAACGATGTTAGCTATTATATATATTATATAAAAAAAACAATTATGCATATTCCCTATTGTGATATTTGGGTACAAAATTTATATATTTTAATTTGATTGTGTTGATATAGAATATTTGTTATTCAAAAAATTAATTACTAAAACTGTTATATTGTCAACTGACCCTCTATAATAAGCTTGGAGAGTTAAACTTTTAGCTCCATAATCCGGTTCATCTAACCTTTCCTTAATAAATTTAATTGCTTCTTCATTAGAAAAAGTATCCCATAGACCATCAGATGCTAAGACTAAGAACATAGGTTTGTGATCATTTAGATTAAATGTCAGGATATCAGGATCAGCAATGACAAAATTTTTATCTTTCAGAGGGTAGTCACCCATGGCCCGTGAAGTAGCCAAAATACCAGCAACTCTCCATACACCATTAAAAGCAATGTATCCACCAGCTGCTTCTATTCTTTTTTGTTCTCGAACCTATATAAATATAAAAAATGTTAAAAATTCTTAAAGATTAATGTTTATATTATATGCATCACACAAGATAGTTAATAATTGTATATTAAATGTCTTTTGAATTTAAAATACTTTAATCTATTTTACATCTATTGCACCCCTTTCAATTTTCATTACAGTTTATTAAATAAGGATCTAGTTGGTGAATGAAATATTATTAAAGAAAATACATACCTGTTGTGGTTTATGATCAAAAGATACAGGAATTGCATTTCCTCGACTATCACACATAACTCCTCTAGAATCACCTACATTGGCCACAATGAGGTGATTATCTTCTAGTATAGCAATCAGAGCAGTAGTTCCTGCAACATTCATGGTACGCTTTGCTGCTTCAACAAGTAGTCTATCCGCTGCTAGGACTTCATCAGTTAATAATTTGCCATAGTTTATCTTTCCTTTATCTACATAGTTTGATAAAGGAACAGCAACATTTTTTACTGGTTTTATTGGCCTTACTTCTCTAGTTATTATTGGTCTTGCCTTAGATAGTTGAGCCAATAAATCCGGGTCTGTAATTTCTTTTTTCGATGTATCATCAGCTGTACTAGCTGACTTCTTAAAACTAGTTTTCCTCTCGGCATTTACATTAGATTCGTCTTTTTTTGGTTCCTCTAATGCTGGAATATCTTTTGGTGGAGTAACAATCGTTTTACCATCTTTAAAAGCACTTAATTCTACGACTTTATTGTATAAATTTTGTATAAGATGATCTTTAGCATAGTTTGCGGCAAATTCTCCACCGTGACCGTCAAATATAGCGAACAAAGATATGCCAGTGTTGTTTATATTCTCGTAAATAATGAATTTGTCCTCCATATGCATTCTTCTACCCTTAATTGCGTAAACTGCACTGAGGGAGCCTTTTAGCTCCCAGCTTTGTTTATCTGCATCAGAACCTTCCAACAATTTCATACGTTGAACAGCATTAATTGGGCTCATTGCCTGAGATAATCTGCTTAGCAATGTTCTGCTCCATATTCCAATAGTTTGAAGATACATAAAGAAAACAATAACACCTAGGGTGAACACTAATACTTCTGATCTCAGTAAATAAAGTCGTACCATCTTCCATAAATAGCTCACTGGAGTGTCAAAGGCAACACTGCTTGTTAATCGTGATAAAATTTTCATAAACGAAACGTATGTTTGGTGTAAAACCTTGTCTTCTAATTCGTCTTCCATGTCCTTGAGAAGAAATAAAATTGAAAGCAATAAAACAAATTTCCAATATAAACTGCAAGCTTTTAAAATTTGGTTTCAGCAGCACAGATTCAGAATTCAGATTTCATTTCAGAGCAGAATGCAGATAATTTATAACTATCGTCTATAACAGATCAAAAATATAACGACCGCAGTAATAAATAAAACAGAATTTATGAAATACTTTTTAATATCAATATAAAAAATATTGCGAAGATGCGATTCTAAAACAAATCCCTTTGGTTCGTCTCCCTAGATATAATAATTAGCTTCCGGCTTTTTAAACCCTGGTAAAAAATAAATGGGAGTAAAATATGAGGTCCATAATTAATAATGTCGTATCATATAATTTAAACATAATTTAATCTGATGATATTGCTATATTTAAAGAAATCAAACTAGTTTTATATTATAGAAAAAAGTTCATTACGTTATGTGTGGTTCAAGTACATTTTCCATTATTATGTACCCTCTTTACGCTCGGGCTGCAGCTCACACCGTGCATTAATAGAGTATAGACTAGTTTAACACGTGTATCGAATTGGTCCGAAAGCTGGTGAACATTTTCGGGTAGGGGTAGGTAGGTTAACATTTAGACCCGACTGATTGGTCTGGCTTTTTGATGTTTTAATTTCTTAAATATCTAACTTATGGATATAAAAATTTCAAAACGCCTCAAAAAACAATTTTTAATAAAGAAATTTCCCTTAAAAAATTCAAGGGTTGTTAAGGTGCCGCTATCCGTCAGCCAGACCTCGACTATCTTATTTAGGGGTCCTTCAAAGACAATTACAACATTTCCTGTAGTGCCTCAAGAACCTACCCCAAAATGTTCACCAGCTCTCCTATAAATAGTATTTTGTTCTTGAAATAAAATTACTTTTTCCTAATGACATAAAGGTCTAGTTCGAGGCTCGAGCCCCGGATCGGGCCAACTATAGTTATTGGGTTTTCTGTCGCATCCTTTTTTTTTAACGTTGGCAAATGCATTTATGCACGAGGTGTGGGACTCACCGGCGAAGCCAGTACTACCCACTAAAACCCAACAAAACCTTCCCTCGCCTTAATGGGGCGTCGCAGGATCGCTTACGCATTCAACTGCGACGCCCCGCCGGCAGGTCTGCCGAAGCAGACCACAACATCCATGGAGTTGCTCCACAGAGTCTACTCTGCTATTAGAGAAGTACCAGGAGCGGGCCACCTCCCTGTACGTTTCTTGGCTTGGCGCCCGGCTGGATTGCCGGACACTACTGAGCCCCCCCGCCAATGGTGAATGCACGTTGGGAGTGGGGAGGAGGGCAGGGAGGTGTTTCTGTCGCATCCTATCGTAACTGCTGACCATTTTTAACTTTATAGTAAATAACGAAATAATATTAATTTGTTGTATTGATAGTAAGATAAATGGAATAAAAGAGGATTTTATAAATAAAACAAGAAGATATTCTTATAAATGTATTAAAACAGCAAATCCAGATTACAAATCAGATCATCAAAGATATAAAATACTTGGTTAATATTAATTTGTGCATGGGTACATTATAAACACTACTTTATGTGTACATATTTATGGCATGGTTTTAATCTATAGCAATTTTACATAAATATAAATAAAATATGAAACAAATACATAAATTAATCAATAGCTCTCATTTAAGTACTAAGTACAATGATACTGTTCATGTATAGGTAAGTATTATACAATAGGGAATAAGCGTGTTTTTATATTTTTTATGCAATAGCTGACATCTTTATATAGTTGTAAAAAAAAAATTCTCTAGCTCCCAAAAAAGTAAAATTTTGTATAAATATCATTCGATACAGATACGGATACTTAAGCGCCCACCTACTACCGCTACTTTCGCGCGCTTGGCGTGATGTCAAAGTTTATAATAATAGAGCCAGTGCTGCCAGTTTAGCGATTTTGTCGCTAAAAATGACAACTTTTGCTTTAAGTATCTTTTAGCAACAAAATCGCAAAATTGGCAACACTGGCTCTGTTATGATATATTTTGACGTCATATTAGGCGGACCAATGGCGTTGCGTTTCAACTACTTTGAATTTCCTACTTATTTTTGCACTTTTTAATAATTATTTTCTTAATCAAAAAGAAATGAAAAATATTGATATAAGCTTAATTCAGAAGCAATAAAGATTATAAAAAAAAATATTTCACCTTTATTTAAATCACACGCATATTCCCTATTATAACAAAAAAAAAAACAATACCTGAATTCTATTTATATCTATCAACATTTAATTTGCCAATTGTACTTTTCTATATATGTACGTGAAAATCAACATTTCACTATCTTGACTATCACTCTGGTTTTTATAATTTTTATTAGTTATTATCAAAGTTAGTGTAAAAACTTGTTTCCGTACAAAAGACAAATTTAATAAACATTATTTTTTATTACAAAGATTAATATTAAATATTTATGATTTTAGCTATTTCGAAGTATAACTTATCATTGTAAGGTACAATGCACATTATAGTTAATTTAGGAATTAATCAATTGATAAAAAACTTAGATACATAGGTATAGATACATCCTGACTACAATAGATTGTGATATTAAATAGTATGATACAAAAAAATGGAATGAGAAGAGTATTATTATTTTATAATGAGAATATATTACCTTTATGCTAGAGCACACATATTACAACACAACTAAGAATATTATCAACAAAATAAATAAACCGACATAAACTTCTTAAAATAAAATTTTAATGGAACATAAACTTGTACTAGATGTTAAGTTATGACGTTAATTCAAAATTATAATACGAAATAGAAAACACTGGTGAAGTAGTATATAACTACTATAAATTCATATTTTATCTTACAAAGTAACTTTTTCTTACGTGACTTTTCGTGTCTTTGTTTTACAAATAAGTTGAATACACCGTATTACGATTTATTGAAGTTATACTTCTTTTAGCACTTTTGGAAAAAAATATGAGAGTAAAATTTTTACGATGCGCGCGCACACCGACAGCCAAAAAGCGACATGATGAAGTTAGCTGCATTCCTTTTACAAACAGAGAGTTGTGACATACGGAATCAAATCTTTAGGTATTTTTGTTCTGTTACGCCAAAGAAGTATAACTTCTTACGTGCGTACATAAGTACACACACACGTTTTATTTTTATTTTAATTAGTCGAAAATATGTTGTTTTATAAAATGTATGTATATTTTATAATAAACCAGAACTAAAAGTTAACAAAATAATAATAACAAATGAGTTACACACATTATATAAGATTGCCTAAAGTAATAATGAATTACTACATTAATCGCTACTATACAAAGTATTTTATTGGATGTTAAGTTGTTGAGGAACTTTTTAAATAATTAGTTATAATACTTTTAAAATGAGGAAAAGCATTTTAAACCGACATTTAGAATGATTTAAAAATGAATAAGATTACATTTCTCACAGATTTTTGTTTAATTCATTCAAACAACATAAATCTTCTTATCATCTAAAATGTCTCAAGTCTGTCCTAGAGTTCCATCATTTAGTAAATATTTAATAGTGTCGATACCAAATTCTACTCAAGGTATTATAGGATAAATGGGCTCCTATATTTATACAATATTAATATGACTTAAAGATTAATCTTTCTAATTGTAATAATTTTAGTACATACATTATCTAAACAATAATAATAATAATTATTATATGCCATTATAGCAATAGATGCTTAAAAATTCATGGGTAAGAAATTGAGTAAAAATATTACTTGCGTCAAGCTAAATTTACTATTCAGATTCGTAGGAATATTTTAAATATTATATATAATAATAATGTAACATCGTTGTTTATTATCGATACAAATACACATTATACATATTATATTATCAAAAGTACTTGTAATAAGTCTAAATGAATAAAGTTTATTTCATTCATTCATTCATTCATATATAGATACAGGCAAGAAATTTTCAAAGTTATTAAACAATATGAGAAATGTATAAGTTTTATTACGTAGAAGCCTTATTAATTATATAAGTGGCATTCATACGCAGCATCAGACGAATTTGGCGTAAACATGGTATTCCAACTACAAGTATATTTTTTACAAAATAGGATGGATGTTGTAATTGACTTTTATAATAATTTAGTATTATTCACAAGCATTGGATAGCTGGAACAAGTTGTCAACTTCAAATTAGAACCAGCAGTATAGTCTTACTATGTATTATTGTCATATTGTATCAATTTTTTTTAAATATAATTTTAATTGTGAATACAAGTTACTTTTATTGCAATTGTAAATTTTAGCTATAAATAATAATAATAAAGGATTAAATATTATTTTTATTATTCCAATAGTGAAGTTGACAACTTAAATTTTGAACGAGCATTTTGCAAGATAGAAGAGCTTTATAGACCAGTAAAATTAATTACATTTTATAATAATTTATTATTTGATTAATTATTTTAGGCATATTTATTTTTTCTTCATTCATAGTGATCTTACTTTAGTGAAATTCTTTCTATTTTTATAAAAATTCAAAATCATAGAAATATCTAAGCAGAATTCAAGTGATTTATTTATCTATTGTTTCTCTAGTGCATAATAAAATTGTTGGTAATTGTAGTGTATAAAAATGTAAAATTTTACCCCGACATTACAATTAGAAGGTATTTTATACGTATAGACTATATAATATAGAATATTATTGAAATTTGATTTGAACGTGAGCTATTATTCCTAAAAAGTTATAATATTAGTGTATAGGTGATTCCACTTGAAGGGATGTATTGTGTTGTAACTTTTTAAAACTCGATAATGATTTTGAAGTAACGCATATCTCGCGGTTTTTTAAATATTTAAAGTACTGTAACTCATTAACTATACTTTGCAATATAATAATGATATATATTTATTTCTAAAGCCCAACATTTTTTAGGCGAGCTAATTTTATGTTTTGTATCGATGGGAACGCAATTTATCTGTATTTTTTTTAAGTTTATCGGTGTTGTATGCATTGCATGCACTCTTATCTGTAAAGTAAATTATTGATGCCTCTTATCGAAGGGAATAAAATTATAATTGGTGTATGGGTTAGCACATGCGTATTGTATTCCTCTCTAGATGGTTACAGGACGATAGTAAAGAAATTGGTTTTATAGCTAGAAAAATCTAGATTTGCGAGGTTAGTTCTCAGTCTATAGTAGACAATAAGATGTAAATAAATGGCAATACATTTCCAAAAAAGAGAGATCAAAAATTGCTTGAGATTAATATTTTAACTTTTTTAGATTTACGCGAATGTTGGACATTTTAAATAAAACTATATTTTCGGATTTTTTCGCGGGTTTATTTTGATATTTATTGGTTATCGACGTTTCGAATGCTTTATGGCAATTTTCACGGGGGAGACTGAGGTTTTAGACGTCTCAAAGGCATTATATAGTAGGCATGATTGCTGTAAAGCATTCGAAACGTTGGGAACCAAAAATCAAAATAAATCGCGGAAAAATCCGAAAAGATAGATTTTTAGGTTTTATTTAAAATATTTTGACTTTGTTGGTTGATTTAGGAAAATTAAGAAAAACGTATAAATTTATATTGTGTATAGTCTTTTTGTATCCGCACCTTGAAAGACTTATGAGTTATCTAGTACATTATTTCTAAATTTCTAATCAATAAATACGTCATGTATCAGTTTTTAGCTTAGAGCAATTAAAAAAAATGAGTGCTTGTAACCTTTACACGCGGTTGAAGTAAAACTTCTTTAACGCTGTGGCAGATACCGCAATTAAAAAGCAAATCAAAATATAAATATAATAATTTTTATAAAATTATAATTAGTAATAAATATTAATTTTTATAAGTAATAATTATTATATAATTATTAATTTCAACATTCATTTTTCCAATTTATCCTTCACTTACTTATCCCTCAGTCACGCCTAAACAAGTTTTACTTCAATAAATAGTTATCTTTATTTGACATTGACTAATATATATCTCAATGATTTGAAGATGGTAGAAAAATTTAATAACATACAAGAAAAATTGTTATACTAAGGACATTTTAAGCAGATCTACATTATGTGAAGACATGTCGATTATGTCATATTATTCAATTTGCAAATATCTTAGCCTATATAGCAAGGAAGAAGAATGTATTTTAAAGTATTTTTGGAGATTTTAAAAATTATACGTAATTTTTATATTTAAGAATTCATTTCATAAATCAATTCCTAATTAACGCTTTGCTAAGAGATAATATTGAGATAATATCAATGCAATTTAGTTAAAGACAACAGCTCAATGAGAACTTTCTACAAACTACAATAATATATTATAAATAACAGTGAATGTTTGTGATATTTTAAAAATTGTCATTTTCAGTAAAAAAGAGACTAGAGATAAACTAAAGACAGCTCGCAGTTTGTACTAGCTTTACTGTTCAGTTACGTAATATTTAACTTATTTTTCTTGAGTAATTGATTATACAGAGATAAAGAAATCAAAGTATTTATCTATCTTTGTATGTGAAAACCGCCTACTTATAGTTTAACGTAACTATTCTACTATTGGCGGTGATTAAATTTCCTTTGTAGCAGTTTTCCGATCGAACGACAGCACTCTATAGTACTTCATATTTAAGACTAACAGAACTAAGCACTTTATCGTCCGTGGATAATTAAATTTATACTTTTTGACCGACTTTAAAAAAATGAGAACGTATTCAAATCGGGTGTATGTTTTTTGTGTATGTTATACGACACATTCGCCAATTAAGGACAAATCAGTTAAAAATATTCAACCCCTAAGAGTATGTTTAAATAAAAAAAAATGTTTGGAAGGGTAGATGTGTTTACGTTAATAAATAAATGTATTTGTGTGAGCGTGTTTAAGGTGTACTATTTTATTTAAAAGTAACTATAAAAAGTCTAAATATTGACTATCGCTGGAAAACCTTTCTAGACTGGGCACATGTTGAAACCGCCAGTACACTATATATTTAAGCATTGCTAGATTCGAGCTCTACGCCAGTGACTGTTGTACTGAGATTTCCGTTGACGAGTATGTCCTGCAGAGGCTGGCCCAATACATTAGAGAGAGAGTCACTTAACTTATAATAGTTAGATTCTAACGCCTCTTGATACGTGACTTGATCAGAACTGATCAATTTGGCATTCAATTGTAGAGCCGCGTGACAAATCGTCAGGAATTCCCTGAAACACAATGTTATAGTGAATGTGAGGTTATGAAGGTGTAGTCATATGATATGAATCTATACTAATATTATAAAGAGGCGAAGTTGGTGAGTTTGTGACGTTGTAGAGGGTAATCTCTGGATCTACTGAACCGATTTAGATGAAATTTGGTAAGAAGATAGTTTATTTTTTATCTCGGAAATCATCCCTTAAGGGGGTTAAAATGGGGATAAAAGTTTGTGTTGGGAAGCAAGCTAGGGACGGACCCGAGCGAAGCGAGGGTGAGTCGCTAGTTTTTTATAAATAAAATTTAAGAGTTTGATTAAAAGATGGCCAACTTAATGTAAACAAATATTTAATGAGCACAAGGCTGGTAACTAGAATTAACTTGAATGAATCGTCCAAAATCGAGTTTTGAGATAATTCTTACATTTAAAAGAAAGTTTTTGGTATTATTGATTTAATTTTAGTATTCAAAAATTAATCTTAATTTAATAAGATGTTATTATCACTAATTGGCTAAGCGTATATAAACTGTGTAACTTTGCTATTTTGTCTCTGTTAACATCTGTCTCTTGAAGTGTTAACATTCGGTCTTGTAATACCTTCCCAGTATTTACGAGTATTATGAAGTTGAAATATTATAATTATAAAGTGAAGTGTTTCATTTTATTAGTAACTCTAAATCCATAACCCAATAAAAATTATATGACTTGATTATAAAACTGGTACATTCTGGGAATTAAAAGGTATTAAGACTTTGGGTCATTTTTTTCCTACAAACTATGAGTAAGCGAACATCCACAGAATGTATTTATTGTGTATTTGCTTTAATATCCATTTAAAATTATAGGAAAATATTTGTATTTCTTATAACTAGCGTTATGGACATATTTGACAATACTATTTCTTGTTCATTTATTTACTGACGGAGGGCGTCAGTTTGATCATATGCTACATTTAAACTTTGTCCATTTTTAATTACGAAGAAAGTACGCTGTAACGGATGGACTGACAAATTCGACAAATATTCCGAGTGATTTAAAATAAATCCATATTAACATCGAATATACGGCAATTTAGGAATATAATAAAAATAATAGCTTACTTAAATATAGCCTTTAGTTTGTCCACCATGTCGTCCGGGTACATGGGCGCGAGCGTGGGGTCCAGGAACGCGTTGGCGTAGGCCAGCGGCCCGGCGTTTACTTGTACACAAATGCTGCCTTGTAGTCTGGAATTTACGCAGAAAACATTTTCATATATAAAAGATATTTTGAAATATACAATACTTGGCTCTTTTTGGTACTTATTTGTACCAGCTATAAAGATCTCAAATTAAAGAAAGAAGATTAATCAATCTTGAATGCATAGTCAAGTCACTAAATTTCGTTCATCATTTATGGGAGTTTAGTAATTATTCAGTATTATTTCGGTCCATTTCAAAACTTATTATTTTAACCTCTCACTAGCTAACTCACAATGTAATATATATTGTATTCAGCCCTTTTTTTAACGTCCCACTGCTGGGCACGGACCTCCCTTCAATACGAGGGGCATCAGGCCATAGTCCACCACGCTGGCCAAGTGCGGGTTGGCGGACTTCACATGTCTTTTTGAAAACTTGCTCGGATGTTTTCCTTCACCGTTAAGATAAGTGGTAATCATGTTGGAAATGATTCGCACATGAAAATATAAGAGGTGCGAGACCCGGGATTTGAACCCGCTTCATTCGGTTTCCCAAGCGATCGCTATACCACTGGGCTACCACTGTCTTAAATTTATATTAATCCATTGAAAATACGTGTCGTTTCGATTTCCTAATTTATACGTGAAATCTGGATGACAATACAACAATTTGTTACCATCAAACTGTTCTAATGATGGAGCTAGGGGGTGAAAGCTGAAGCGCCTCAATGGCTTACTTGTAGAGCCAAGTTTGGGCTTATTTAATTTGGGTTGACAAGTCCCATAAATATGGGACTTATCAACCCAAACCCACTATTAGTTTCAAACGTGTTTGTTAGTTTATATAAAAACTATAAATGTTCCCCTAACAATTTACCTAAGTTGTAATTTCTTAATATCTGGTGCTCTAGCGTTAACAATCTCGGCCAATTCAGCTACTTGACTTTCCATTTCAGAAACGGCGACCTCTATGGGGCTCTTCTCTTCAACTTGAGTGTCGACGACTGGCACACGACGTTTCACATACGGGAACCAGCTATCGGCTACGTAGCAAAATATATCGGTTAGTGTCATTCAAAACTGTTAGAACTATATTAATGCATTTGTTAATTAATATATTATGTAAATCTATATTTTCGAGTTTATTTTCATTATTGGTTCTCGACGTTTTGAATGTTTTTGAGGCTTCAAAGACTTTAGTCTCTCGCGAGGTCATATAGTTTTATTTAGGACTAGTGACTAAACCTCGCTTCGCTCGCGTGCATCCCTAGATACGTTTTAATTTTTTTGAGCGGAACCCTAATTCATTTTCTAAAATAAAAGTAGCCTAAGTTACTCCCTATAACGTCAGCTATCTGCCAGTGAAAGTCCCGTCAAAATCAGTCCAGTCGTTTTGGAGATTATTATTATATATATAGGAAAAAACAGATAAAAATTGTGTTTCTCTTATAACTGTTATTTTGACATTACAAACAGACACTTCAATTTTATTTATCTGTATAGCTATAGATGTCAAATATTCGTGTAAATATAAGAAAGTATTTTTATATAAATTTTTGGTTTCATTCGTAAAATCGAACGAGGGCATCGAGACATTATATTTACCTGTAAGGTGTGTCAGACGTAATCTCTGATGGTGTACAGGACCGCGGGCTGCCCCGTCCCTAGTAAATGGTGTTTCAAACACGAATCGTCTAACATTGTGGACTCTTTCGAAGGCACCTTCGCCTCCGGAATGGACAGTAGCCATGCCCTCAGGAGATGCTCGTACCCACGTTACTTGGATATAAGCAAGTTTGCTGTCTAACTCGTCCCGATTTACCTATTATTTAATATTATTTTTATAATTTAATTCCTCCATAAAAGTCACTACTCAAACATTGTTTAATGATAATAATGTTCAAAATATTGCTAGAGTATTGTAATAAAGACGAGGAAATACTATTTATATTAAAACTTGTTTAATTGTCAAGTAACCTATAAAATTATAATTACGGAAACAGATATGTACAGAATTACAACGCTGTAACATCTATACTATGTTGTGGTATATGTTGAGGTAAATCAGATCTTAGATATATAGGTAATTGATTTTAATTGTGTAAGGAAGGAAAAAAAATAGTAAAACTTGGCCTGTTCATTTTTTACAATTCGAAGTCAAAAGTATATCTTGAATAATTTTAAATCCTACTTCATAATTTTGCATACAATCATAAAAACACAAACATTATTCTTTGAGAATTGATTGTATGTACAATCGTAAAGCAGGATCATGTTTATTATGCCAAAAATTAATAAAACATCTATAACCTGTTTTAAATTCTTAGCAAATCATACTGACCGGCGCCGAATCCATTATCATTTTGACGCAACCGGCTCCAAATTTTTGCTCATAGAAGTTCTGAAGTTTTTCTGAGATCTCGCTCAGCGACGTTAACTTAGGTTCTTTGTAAATAAATTCTATGCCTTCCTCATCTTCGCCAAAGTGGGCTTTTCCAAAAAAGGCTACACGGTAAAATCTTCCTAAGAGACGTTTTCCTGAATTGGTAACTTCAATTACTTTAGCATAAGCTTTAGTGAGATGCTGATAACACATTAGAAGAGCTTGATAATCTTTCCTGCGTTCATATATAGGGATGACAAGGCGGTATAGTGGACCCAGCAACTCATACCGTTCAGCCTTATCGACATATTCTGTGCATAACATCAATTGGTCGAGCAGAGCTTGTTCGTTGTAGTGGACATCAGTCATTCCTTAAACAAAGATTACAAAATGATAGTTGACCAGACATATTGTTTTATAATAATCTACAATGAATAAAATAAATTAATATATAAAATTTCATTGTCTGTACTTGATTAATATTCATTATTCTTCTACTTTTTTGTTTGTCTATAATAAAATTTAGATCATAATACTTTCTTAGATTTTCGCGAATATTTGACATTTAAAATAAAACTATCTTTTCGGATTTTTTCGCGGATTTATTTGGATTTTTGGTTCCCGACCTTTTGAGACATGTAACACCTCAGTCTCCCCCGTGACCATAAATGCTGTTAAGCATTCGAAACGTCGGGAACCGAAAATCCAAATAATTCCGCGAAAAAATCCGAAAAGATAGTTTTATTTAAAATTTAGATCAGGTAGAAAAACAGGCAAGGAAAGAAATATATAGAATTAAGATGTAAATGTTAGGTTTAGGTACTTTTGATTTTTTTTATTACAAACTGATATGATATTTAAAACATCATTAAATCCGGAATCGAAAAAGTCATCGAGCAGGTTTTTGCGCATATTTTTTTTTGGGTCCATACGCAAGTCGTTTATACACGCAAAAAGTGTACGTGTAACATATGTAAATCTAAACACGTGTGATTTAAGATAAAATATAATGGCTAATGCGTATTTATCTGATTTAGCTGTGAAAGGACATTAGATTATGGTATTAAAGTTTTATTTTAAATATTATATTTCAACTTAAATTATAATATTTATAAAGTATAAACGCTACAAAACTGTTCTATATAAACTGAACATGATCATATATTTTACATTCTAAATTAAGTCGTTTGATTGTTTGAACGTCTATTGAAACTTTTGCAGTGTTACCAGTAGTTACTATGCCATTTTTTATAATCAGATTTGTGATAGTGTTATTAGTATGTATGTCATATCGACTGGGACCTAGTGTATGTGCATTACCAGCAAATCTTGATAACGATGTTGGAGCTGTTGATGTTGACTCTATCAGTGATGTTTTAGACGAGAATAAATTGTTGATTTCATTTGTGGTAAGTGGATAGTGTCAAATATTACACATTCTTAGAATTACGCGAATATTTGACATTTTAAATAAAACTGTCTTTTCGGATTTTTTCGCGAATTTATTTTGATTTTTGGTTCCCATGACATTAAACATAAAAATGTTTAAATTTATCAAATATTGTAAGGCAGGTACTTTGATGCCATTTTTGAATTTTTTGAATTCATTTTTGTTAATTTGTGGGTAAGCTGTTTGTAACAACTATATACCTAATGATTTTGAGACATCTTAAACCTTAGTCTCTCCCGTGACCATGATCGCTGTAAAGCATTCGAAACGTCGGAAACCAAAAATCAAAATAATTCGCGAAAAATCTGAAAAGATACTTTTTTTTAAAGTGTCAAATACTTTTGGGTTAACCATTAAACCGTCACACTTTTAGTGTAATGAAGAATAATTAAATAACTATATATTCACTGTCACAATGGACATGTATTGTTACAGTTACAAACAAGTATAACGTTTTTAACAGGTTTTTAGACATGGCGATAGAACACCACAACAAATTGAATTGGACTTATATCCAGCAGCACCATTTAATGAAAGTATATTTTATCCGTATGGAAAGGAAGCACTTACAATCGTAAGTTATAAACATTTTATGAAATGTAGGTAATATTATCACTAAAGTTGAAAATGTTAGTTATAAGTACTGATAAACTGCTTAGTGCGTTCTAAACGGTCTAAATCTCACCTGATTTGATTATTAAGATAAAAATCGTAAATGTCATAAGAAATGATTTACTTACGATACGAATAATTTTCAGAAAGGAAAACAACGTGCTTACAGTCTAGGCCAATACTTAAGAAAACGCTACAATGATACAATTTCTCAGTTATATATTCCAAATGAGATTACTGTACGAACTACAGATTACGCACGAACTAAGATGACTGCATTAGTCGTCCTGGCCGCGATGTACCCGCCAACATCGGAACAGAATTGGAATGAGGATTTGAATTGGCAACCAATACCATATGATACAATAAATAAAATGGACGATGATGTAAATATACTATGTATTAAAATATATTCTTAATCCTTTGGAGTAATCTGCCGGAAATACAAAAAATACCTGAGAGCGCTTGCTATGTTACTTATTTTTATTATGTGATTAAAACTTTTATTAATAATACTCGTATGGTGTTATAAAGTACCCTAAAAGCAGCAGTAGCCTTTTGGGGACATTGAAGTTTTACCTGGGGCTCACACACCCTTGGGGTTTAGTTTGGGAACTGTCGAGTGTTTCATAGGAAAAGCTAAATTATTTATTTTAAACTTCATACATAACGGGAAACGAGGAGGCTGATATTCTTGCAAAACAAGCTCCTCTCGTAGGGACAGTTATAAATTTACCAAATTATTCCACCAAATTATTCTGATTTTTTAGTTAAATATAAACAAGAATGTGTAAACCGCTTTAAAGAGTACTTTGACGAAAGATCAAAACTTAAGGAAATATGGTATAAGACTATACAAAGTGAGCCTCCTCGTATCCCGTGGTTCTGCGACTCAGGGTTGACGCGTCAACAAATTGTTATGGCTCTTAGGCTGCGTTCGGGACACGTTCCACTTAACAGATTTATGTTTCTAATGAAAAAATCTAATTCTCCAAATTGTAATTTATGCGGTGTAGAGGAAGATGTGCATCATTTCTTAGTGGAATGTGTTCGTAAAGCGGATAGGAGACAGGAGTTGATGCGCCGTTTTAACGTTTGCTGGAGTGATGTGGGAGTTTTTCAAAGCGCACTGTCTAAACCTTTTTTTTTTTTTTTTTTTTTTAACGTTGGGAAATGCATTTACGCACGACGTGTGGGACTCACCGGCGTAATACAGCCAGTACTACCCACTAAAACCCAACAAAACCTTCCCCCGTCTTAATGGGGCGTCGCAGGATCGCTTACGCATTCAACTACGACGCCCCGACGGCAGGTCCGCCTAAGCAGACCACCACAACCATGGGGTTGCTCCACAGTCCACTCTGCTATCAGAGAAGTACCAGGAGCAACCCGCATGGTACACCGCACTCCGAAGAGGGCCACCTCCCACCGCCCACCGAAGTGGACAACCTCCCTGTGCGTTTCTTAGCTTCGCTACTGCTACTGAGCCCCCCCACCACGACAAGGTGAACGCACGTTGGGGGGGGGGGGGCACTGTCTAAACCTAACTCAGAGATAGCCAAAACTGTATATCAATTTAAGTTAAAATAAGTTATAATTAGAGGTACTAGTATTATTAGTGGTATACATGTCTTAAGGAAACGATGGGACTGACATTTAGCTTTGTTGCTAAGAAGTCCCTAAATAAAAATAGATTAAAAAAAAAAAACTTCATACATAAAAATGTATATTTGTATAATAATATAATTTCTTTTATTGTATTCCATTTCAGCTTCTCGTCTTTGTTAATTGTCCAAGATACAATGAATTACATGACCATGTTTATAAAGATCCTGCAATATCCACTATTATTAAATCCTATCAATCTCTATTTCAACTACTGAGCGTAAAAACTGGGGGCAAGATAACAAAACCAAAAAATGTTTTCTTTTTAGACAATTTGTTCCAGGCTTTGGTACGTAAGAATATCCTAATGCTATTTTACAACAATTATAGTAGTTACTCTAATTAAGTTTAATTTAAAATTTTAGGAAAATTCCGGCGTGAAAAACGATAAATGGATTGAAGATGTGTTTTCTGAATTAAAAGAAGTGACAAAGATCGACTATTCTTGTTTATTTTATACTGACGAACAAATAAAATTATCTACAGGTAAATAGGTCATAATACTGAAAATGAATACGGCTTAGCATTGGAATCTATAAGCCTAATTTAAATTAATATTTCCCAGAACTAGCTTCGTTTGGTTTTTACTAGTTTAGTCAAAAAACAGGAACCATTGAAAGAAAGATTATAAAAATTGTCTATTTAAATGAAAATGAATCACCGAAATGTATGTACCTACGCGCATAACTTCCGATGGACTATACAAAATTGGATAATTCTTTTTTTTTGTGTTTGTTATTGTCAGGTCAAGCTTTGTATAGAAGAAAATTAAAAGAAAATTTTCTTTTACTAAAATATATATTTTTTTAAATCGAATGGGGATGAAAGTTTGTATAGGGACGAACCCGAGTGAAGCGAGGGTGAGTCGCTAGTAATTCATAAATTTATATAACCTATATTGATATATTATAGATATGCGAATTAAAATGGCAAAACAATGATTTGTTAACTAGCTATCATCATACCAAATTTTATCAAAATCTGTCCAGTGTTATTTTCGTGATGCGGTCACAGACAGACAGACAGACAAAAATTCTAAAAACTATATTAGGCCTCTGTATCGATAATACTATTTCAATAAGATTTTCCAAAAAATATTTAATGTACAGATTCGACTCTGTTACAATTTTATTATATGTATAGATAGATTAATTGTGTAAAAATAATAAGTAATAAAATCAATTGAAACACAAGATAAAAACCAAAAATCATTTAGGCAACAATTAAGGCCAAATACTAACCCTAGCTTTTATCTCAAGATTTTTCTCAAAGACAGTTTTGTTTTGATAGTACCTAGGGGTAGTAAAATTCGATAAATTTTGTATCATTTGAATGCACTTAAGTGTTCGGCAATTCAGCCGGGCGCGTATGTATATTTTATCACTAAGTGGGTATTTTGAATGGTAACACACTTTAAACTTCCAGGTGTTCTATTACACGAAATAGTAAATATTATGAAAATGGCTGTGGCTGGTGATCAAGAACAAGCTAAGTTACACTTATATTCTGCACATGAAAATAACGTTGCAGCTTTGCTAGCAGCCTTAAAAATCTTTAAGCCACATCAACCAAAATACGGTTCAAGTATCGCTTTAGAACTTCGACGAAACTTAAGAACTGGAAAACATGGAGTAATGGTAATATTAGCATTTTTGTTACATTGGCATTCCCACAGAAAAAAAAACTTATAATTGAATAGAACAAGATATTTTTTGCTCAGAAATATAATATTCGCCCACTAGCTCTTTAGATATCAATTAAATTATCGACAACATTTTATTTTATTTTTTTCTCGCAGGCTGTGTACGCACGGGAAGCTGGTGGCCCTGGCGAAGTTATACCGATAGGTGGTTGTGAAGAAAAAATCATATGCGATTTTGATAGATTTCTCAATTCCATTGAAAATATGCTTTTACCTCGAAGCGAATATAGAGAACAATGTTTAAGTCATGTGGAAAATTAATTAAACACTTACACAAAGCGTTGTTTTTTTTTTGGTTACATCTCGTAACTTATCTAATTCTTAACCGGTAAAAATAGAAATTTTGTCGGTGATTTTTGGCGATATTTTTTTTTCTTAATATCATGCCTCTGCTAAACATGACGAGTGCTTCACTTATTAGGCATTTTGTACTGGCTGACCAAAAAATTGTTTCAGGGCCTATGCACACGACGATTTTTTAAAGCGTTGTAAACACGCCCTTGATGCGTACTCAAGTATTCTGCGCTAGTAAATAAAAAACTGCAAATTACATTTTTTAAGTTTATCAGTGCAGATTACGCGTTTTTATAAAAGTGTATTGTTAATAGATCTTTAAGTTACCAAAATCCATTAAGTATGATATTATTTGAAGTATATGTGGTGATTGGAAAGTGATAAATAGATTAATATGATAATCTAAACAATTAATAAAATTCTAAATCGAATCTGTACATTAAATATTTTTCGCAAAATCTTATTGAAATAGACATTATTATCGGTACAGAGGCCGAATCTATAGTTTTTAGATTTTTTGTCTGTCTGCCTGTCTGTCTGTTACCGCATCACAGAAAAACTACTGGAGGGATTTTGATGAAATTTGGTTATGGCCACAGCTGGTTATCCGGGTCAACATATAGGATACTTTTTACCGCGGAAAAATATTTTATTTCTGAGGAAAATACCAAATCTGGTTAGAATAAAACCACGATGATACTATATATATTTTAGGAAGGTAACATATTAATAAGGCATACACTATTAAAAATAGCTTATCATGAAAAAAAGAACAATACCGCTACTTTATTTGGTTTTTGGTCATCAGAACGCGGGCGGAGCTGCGGGCAATGCTAATGACTTATAATATTTAAAACTTTATATAACTTTTACGATTAACATTATTTATTTGTACTTAAGGGCATATTTATTGTACATATAGATACGTTATATATTTTCAAATCAAACAAAATAATACTTTAAATAAGAATTTTATATGATATTAATGTTGTAAAACTTATCTGCTTTTGATAATGATTAAAATAGCAAAAATAATATACCACGTTGAATTCCGAAATATAGGCTAGAATAATTCTAAATATTTCTAAATATAAGAGACTTCACACACGTGCTTGGCCCTGTTCAAAAATTAATATTTAAAGACAAAGAACAACGTTAACCTTTAAAACAAGCTCTAAAAGATTATTGAACATTTAAAAACAATATAAAAGTTTGAAGCGTTCAATTAACCACACTATTTACGCTTCATAGACTACATACCCATACCTATAAAAGCCTAAGACGATAAATGCTTCTTTATATTAAAAATATAATATAGAAATACTAAAAAACGTGTATACCAATCAGGATAATTAAAAGAATCAGTATAAAATTAAGGAATTCGTAGGTGTTAATTCTAAGGTGAATCAATCTAACCTACTAAAGCTGTTTTAAGTCACCAAATCAATATAAAACCACAGTTACAATAGTCAACAAAAAGCATCCATCCGTATCCAAGGACGATCTTAATTATTTGAGATTCACCTGACATTATCTTGTTATTTGAAAATGCAAAGCTACTAACTACAAACTATGGCAAATTGCCATGCGTTTAAAAAGGCATTGAGTAAAACACATTAAAAACCAACTGGTCTAACAAAAAGAATAGTAAGCAAAACCAAACTAAATAAATATCGAAGCTAAAACAAAACATTAAAATGTAAATTATTTCAATAAATATTTAATGAATATTCTAGATAAGTATATAGGCACTACCTTTTTTTTTTTTTTTTTTTTATGTCGGGAAATGCATTTACGCATACCACCTGATCCCCCAGGTGGTGATGTGGGGCTCACCGGCTAGAAGAGCCGGTACTACCCACTAAAACCCGACATTCCCCTCCCCTCCGCCTTAATGGGACGCCGCAGGATCGCTTGCGCATAACTACTACAGCGCCCCGGCGGCAGGTCTGCCTAAAAAGGCAGACCACCAAACCAATGGGGCTGCTCCACAGTCAACTCTGCTACGCCAGAGAGGTACCCGGAGCAGCCCCATTAAACCTAACCACCGCCCACCGAAGTGGGCCACCTCCAATCGGCTGCAGAGGACAGGGAGAGCGGCAACGACACACCGACACTCCTCTTCCCCTGCAGCCCCACCGCGTCCGCCATCAAACGGTGGCGGCCCCGTCTAGGCCGCGGAAGGTAGGGAGGACGGCGCACCGAAATACCGGCACTCCTCTCCCGCCGCGGCCTACTCCTCCGCCGGATGCGGGCCTGCGACCACAGTCCCGCAACCGGCACCCATCATCCGGTTGTGGGACCAAACGGTCCCACCACCGGTGGCCGCAACGTCTTCGGCTCGAGGCCTAGACGAGCGGCCCCACCCAAGCCATTTGGTCCGCGTCGGATTTCTCCGGTACCACCCGCCGCCCTAAGCGGGTGGCATTCCCCTATCCGCCACCTGGGGACGCGCCCGGTAGGAGTTGGCTTCTCCCCCGGGGTATAGGCACTACTTAGCCTAAACTGTACCTATGACCTGGGCATTGAATGGGAAGCTCAATAGATATTGAATATTATATTTTGCAAAGAAAAAAAAACTCTAGTTACAATGGTAAAAAAAACGTGATAAGAACAAACACAAACAATAAACTCGTAACAAAAATAAAGTGAAAATTTGCAGGTCACATTGAGCGCACGCAAGACGTGAATCTACACATGAACGGTTCATACTGTACAGTGTACACTAAGACGAGTAAGGCGACCGGTATGCAGATCAAACGATATGTAAAATTCAGATAGATGTCATACCATCTTCAAATCTTAGAAAAGACGGTGGATCATTTGTTCCCTTGAAACCGATCTTCATCTTTAGAAGGACAGCTATTGCGTCTGGTGGAATTGTAAACGAATCCTGCGTTATGCGTTATATCTTTTAGTAAGAAGATGATCTCAATTACATGAAGCAAATTATTGCAATTGAACAAAAATATCTATTTTTTCAACTGCGTTAAAATTTTCATTAAAAATCGGCATGAACTTCTAATAAGCGCTTCTAATTTACCTATTGACGATATTTTATTTATTTAAAAAAGTCGGTTTTCTTAATTTTTTAAGCTTTTATTTTTCTATTTTTAGTGTAGACATAGTAGTAGTAAAGTAAAAAGAAAATAAAATTCAGTGGGTAAAAATCAATTATCCCTATTTCCCCCTTTACCTATACACATAAGGGTAATTTTTTTCAAATTTAAATGGGACCAACTCTGAGGTAAATCCTATATAATATAAAAAATCATCGAAATCGGACAACACTGTAAAAAGTTATGCGTGGTAGTGCATTAAATAAAAAACAAAATTTACGTATCGAATTGAGAACGCCCCCTTTTTTCGTCGGTTAAAAATCGATTTTCACTTCTTTAAGATAAGTGCGCTAAATTCAATAAGATTCTTCAGGACAATGTCTACCCAGGTAACAAACTGTATAGATGCGAAAATACATAAACATATTTTACACTCACTTATACATATGTGCAGTTCGATTTATGTAAATTCTGTAATTTTTCAAGATACGCGATACTACGAGGTATGACACAGTCCTATAAAGACGTTTTTGTTTAAGTCTATATAAATGGAGTGGAGGACCTCAGTATGGCAGTCGAAATCTGCTCGCGAGCGCGTGTAGATAATGCCGGTAAGAAACGTTTGTTAGTTAGGCATAGATATGTTAGGAATTATGAGGCCGATATATATACTGGCTCTCTTGGTCGTGGTCGTGTATGGTGAGGAGTCGCCCGCAGTGGGCCTCACAGTGGAACCCACCAACAAGGTCGATTTGGTGGACAAAGGTTTGGATACGGAGTTGCTGATGTCTTTTGTGGTATGCACTATTATTATTCTTTTATTATCTTTTTAAAGATTATTTAAGTTAAATACATTTTAAGTTTTACAAATAAAAAGTGTGTATACATATGTTAGAAAAGTATACTAAAATTATTTAAATAACAATAAAAAAATAATAATGAATATTCATGTACTTATGTTAAATAAAGGTATTTAGACACGGAGATAGAACACCGGATCAAGAAGAATTAGATAAATTTCCAGCTGATAAAAATGATGAGAATATTTTTTTTCCTTATGGAAAAAAGGCACTAACTAACGTAAGTTATAACTCAATTATAGAACGATATTGAGCCCTTTTTTACTTTAAGATCTAATGATTTACTTATTTATCCAACAGAAAGGTAAGCAACGAGGTTTTCTTGTCGGTGAATACTTAAGAGATCGTTATAACAAAATTATTTCGAAGTTATATTTACCTGACGAAATTTCTATTCGGACTACTGATTATGCAAGAACAAAGATGACGGCTTTGACTGCTCTAGCTGCAATTTATCCACCACCTCCAGCTCAAAGGTGGAATCCATTTTTAAATTGGCAACCTGTGCCGTATGATACTTTAGATTACGATGACGATGATGTAAGTAGAGTTTAAAATTGCTATTAAGGAATTTTAATAATAGGTCAATTACGTTATTGTAGGTCTGTATCACAATTTTAATATTTCCTACTTATCTATACTATAATAATATTATAAAGAGGTAAAGTTTGTGAGTTTGTAAGTTTGTGACGTGTAGGGGATAATCTCTGGATCAACTGAATCGATTTAGATGAAATTTTATAAGAAGATAGTTTGAGACCTTGGGAAGGACTCAAGCTAGGGAGCGAACCAGAGCGAAGCGAGGGTGAGTCGCTAGTTATTAATAAATTATAACCTATATTATATAATACGATGAAGTCAAAAAAATAATTAGCATCTCCAATTACAATTTAAAGACACATTATTTAAACGTGGGTTACAGATAATAAGAGTTTGCAAATGCCCGTAATTAGCAATTGCTATTGTAATTAGTCGCAAGCAGATCATAAGTGTCTATCGTTTTAATGCAAATTAGATAATTAGAATAACTGGTACATATGGCACTGGCTTTTTATTTTAAAAGGTAAATACTTTTTTTCAGTTATTATATTATTACAATTGCCCAAGGTACATACAATTAAGGGACAAAACGTATGAACTACCCGCGGTTCAAAAATGGATTGAACCCTATGAAGGACTTTTTAAAGTTTTGAGTATTAAAACAGGAACAAATATAACAACTCCGGAAGATGTTTTCTTCCTTGATAATCTGTTCCAGACATTGGTAAGCTTCGTAAAGTATGCAGTAAATATGTATAAAAAATGTTTTTTTTTTTAATGTTATTTTATTTTATAGGAAAATGTCGGCGTCAGGCCACCGAAATGGGCACACGAAGTAATGCCAAAAATTAAAGAAATGACTAAAATAGAATATGCTTGTGAATTCTATAATAGTGAATTAATAAGATTAGCATCAGGTACGACGTATTTTTTTTAAAGTATTTTTCACCGTTTTTTGAGTTGAATATCCATGAGAATTTCATTGTCAATGTCGAGGGTAATGACCTATAGTAATTTAATCGCAGGAGTGCTTCTGACGGACATATTGAATTTTACAAGTGCAGCAATCGCTGGTAATAGAGAACAACCAAAATTGTTTTTATATTCCGCCCATGAAAATAATGTAGCAGCGCTAATGGCAGCTGCTAAAGTTTTTAAAGCGCATCAGCCTAAATATGGATCCACAATATCTTTGGAACTAAGAAAACGATTGTCAACTGGACAGTTCGGTTTTACTGTAAGTTGTTTTTTTTTTGTTTCAGATTTTAATAATTTATTAGCGTCACAGTAGAACACAACAGTATGCTACTGAAGAACAACTTTTTTTTAAACTATTTACATTATGGAATTACCTATTTATGTATATAATATTTGTCTTAGGATTTGCAGATTGTGATGATTTGTAATTAAATAGTAAATAATATATTTTTTATACAGGCCGTTTACGCTGCAGAGGCAGGAGGCCCAGGCGTAGTACTACCTATTGCTGGTTGCGGAGGAGGACCTTTCTGTGACTATGACACTTTCGTCAGTCTAACCCAAGAAAATTTGTTATCACGAAGTGAATATAAGAGACAGTGTATGATTCCTGTTAGATAATACATATTAAGTTTCAATTTTAAATATCTGTTTGAACTAAGAATTACGAAATCTTGGTAACGAATATTTTAGTCGATGAATTAACTGACATGTCAACGTTTCTCATTCTGTTATACTTTGTAAAATTTAAAAACCTAAGAATAATAATTATTAGCTCCACTCAAGGATATCACGATTATAAGATTATATTTTTATGTCAATATTTATTTACAGAAATGAAGTATATGTTCAGCGTACAAATAATAGATTAAACAAAATATAATTAGTGTTATTATTCTTTGTTAAAATTAAGTAACTGCAAAAATAATAAACTGGCTGTGATTATTGCTATATTAAGTGGTTTTATTTATATTTAATATGCCATAAAATAATGAATTTATATGAGATTTAAATATATTTCACGAATATTTTATTCAATTTTCTTAATGTTAAACATTGAAAATAATTTTATTAAATTATATAAAAAATCAGGATACCACTATAAAAATTACCTCAAAACAAAAAGTAGGTGAAAATTGAAAATGGATATGTAAAACTAACATTATTTCGTAGGTAATCAAAAATATTGAAATATTAACAAACCTCAACAATATTATGTGTAATTGCATAACAGTAAAGTGCCTATTATCAATTAGCTAACTAAACTACAACGCTATCTCAATAAAATATCAAGTCATATATGTATAAACATATATTCTTAGAGAATAATGAGATAATTTAAAGTTTATCAGATTTTATGACAAATAAGATATGTAGGTACATAATATGTGTATAGTAGAGATGACAGTATTAGAAAGATATTACAAACCACGTTAGTGCTACCTTAGCAGTTCGTTATTTAAATTGAATATCAAAGTTGCAGTGACATTGAAACATTAAAAGCAGCATTATGGTGCATTTATCCAGCATTGTATGTATAAAGTGAGCATCAATTGTTATTTCTATCATTTTATCATTGCTCAAATGTTACCTGTATTTAAACCCACAACTATAGTATTAATATACATCTATGAAATAGGGGATCAGAAACTCATCGCAGTTTGTTCGCGAGGATAAACGGAAGGTGTAGTTCGTTCGCACACTGCCATCGCAATCTTTTAATTCACTCTATCAGACAAAATCAACCGTGCTCGATTCAATATGCGAGGGTCATATATTTTATTTATCTGCCATTTTATTAAGTTATACTTCGGTTCACAAACTGATTTTCTACTAACAAAACAGGAGTTAGGGTCATGTAAACTAAGCGTGGGACAAAATTGTCCTATCCTATGAACTTATACTAATATATTCCGCAAATCGCATTGATATTCTGTTATCAATAACTTGCATGTCACATAAAATATCGTTTTGTATGTGGATAAAGACTAGATAAAAATCAGAGTTTTCAATTGAGAATGACGTCGGCAAGGGCGTTACCGGGACGCAGGTACATTGATACAAAAAGCAATGTCTGTTCGGCTGTATGTGTAAATAGATACCTTACAATCGATTCGACAAAGTCAATCATCTGAGCGGCAGATCGCAACGACCGTGAATCTGCAGAGCGTCCCGTGTTGCTCTCAGTGGGACATCACTTCGCGCGTTGTGCACTTCCGCTCTGATATCGTCCGTTTTGAACATACGATAACCTGATACTTCGTGCCTATTGTGTTTACAATGAAACGATCATAATTTTTTTGGAATGCTTGTAAAATAAGTGAGCAAAGCACAAGGCAAGATAGGACTACAATGTAGAGCTGCTAACTAGGCGGAGGAAAATGTGAGTGATGTTTCCATATACCGTGTGTACTTATAGGTTAATTAATAATCGTATTAATTTATATCCGCCTTAATTTAAAAAACGTTTTATGAACATATATGTTTACAGAAGAATTCATTAAGTTTCTTGTCATCCAAGAATATGCAATCATACTTAACATACTTTGTTGTATTTACATGCAACCATTTATCTGTTTATACAATGACTAGCATTGCCTGCGGCTCCGCCCACGTTCAGATGACCAAACTCTTACGTTTTACATATTAGTATACTCTTACATAGAAGTATTTGTATTTTTTCTCAAAAATGAGATATTTCCCGCGGTAAAAAGTATCGTATATGTTAACCCGGACAACCAGCTATCACCATACCAAATTTCATCAAAATTCCTCCAGTGGTTTTTCTGTGATGCGGTAATAGACAGACAAAAATTCTAAAAACTATAGATTCGGCCTCTGCATCGATAATAATGTCTATTTCAATAAGATTTTCCAAAAAAATTTACTATAATAATAGTATAATACTATAATATAATTTTTTAAACACTTTTTGTGTTCAGGAAAGAGGGCGGTCGCGAGGAGGAGTCGACCAACGCGGCGGATGCGCAAAGTATGCGCACCGAACACACTTGCTGTTGCCTCGGCGTGTTGGTGGGCGTCTCACTCATCGCCGGTTCGTTTTGTTTATGTTTATGGAAAATGCATAGCACATTACAATCTGCACACTATTTAAAAATTGGCGATATATTCATATTTAAGAAAATATTTATAAATATTATGTTTAATATTTTTGGGTAGAAGGACATCTATTAGCCTAAGAATAGGACATTTAAAAATAGTTTTGTTTTTTTGCCTAAGTTTATTTGTCTAAACTTTGAATTAACGTAAATTCAAAATATATAGATAACTTTAATAGTTTCATAATAATACGCTTTGTTTGAAATAGCCCTCGTAGCAGTGATCCTGATGAAGGACACTACGGTGGAAGTGACAATACTACGACAAGTTCACGTGGTAAGTAACGATAAATTTATTTAGAAGTAAATCTAACCGTTCGAATAAAATATAGACAAAAATAAGTTAATTATCAGGTTAAATAATATAAATGTTTGGAAAATGAGGATAATATAATGAATTTAAACAAGACCAAAACAAATAAAAGAATAGAAAGCAGTTTATAAACTTGTTATGTGATAACTAAACGGTTATAAATTACGATTAATTAAAAAAAAGAACTTCTTGGAGTTACAAATGTTAATTATACCTATAGTGAAAAAAACATGTGTTATTTATACATTTTTATTTTCAGTTAAATAAGTATGAAAATAATTTAAATTGTTTAAGTAAATAAAAAACAAATTCTAACTGTCCAGCTCATGTCCCACGGTGAGCGCACACCCAGTGAGCGTGAGTTGGCGATGCTGGGTGCGCCACCACCAGATCACGTTTTTGTACCCTATGGAGCTGGAGCTTTGACTAATGTAAGTTGTTAATTCAATATATTGTAACGATCTTAATTTATTTTACGAAACATATGTGGCAAACACAAGTAACGCGAAACGTAAGCAGCTAACTAGCTATGCTATACTTATCTAGTTATTTCAATTATTTTATTCGGCTAGTTAAGTTGAGGAATGACGACACGGAATACTACTAATCTATTAAATGGAGTTCACGTGTTTGTTTCTCATTAGAGTTAAAAGTTTTTATAGATTCTTATGATGTAAAACGTGATAGATATTTAACATGTTTCTCATTTACGAGATCCTGATATTTCTACATTGTTAGAAGGATTAAACTGTGCAGTTCCGGTGGTTCCCGTGTAATGTCCCATTTTACACCATAAGAATATTGTAAGTGGTTATGAATTCTGAGTACTTAAGTCTTTACTAAATGTAGCATATTTTTTATTGAACTTATGAAACAAAATATTGAAATTGCATATTAAAGGACAAAGGCAAAGGTGGTAAAGATATGTAAGTACTCAGGATTCAAAATGAGTTTTATGGAGACATATTATTCAAGAATTTAAACAAATTCGTATTTTTTGCTACGAGTATATGGACATTATGAAATACTAATCAAATTGTATTTACATTCATCGGAAGAGTGATTGTTAACAAAAGTCTATTTTAGCGTATTTCCTCTATTCGTAGAATTAATCTGGTAATTGAAACGTTTCGCATCACTATTGTAACAAAGACACACGTAAATATGTATACCTACATACATTTGTATTGTGGACAAAAAATTAGACGAAGATTAGAATCGGCATAAATGCAACGAATTAAATAAAATAAGATTATAAAAACAAATATAATATATGAAGCAACGACTACTCAGTGATCAAGTTATATAAAACTTTATATTTCCGGGACGGACAGACATTTTGCATGATATTCGAGGGTCAGTTGAAGATAGTCCGTAATGAAGCGACTACTTCCCGGTAAGACGGGAGGGAGCTCTAAACCTGAAGGTCGCGTGTTCTAAACAGGAACGAGGTGTCGAGAGGCGTAGATTACTGTCAGTCTCAACAATGATTTATCGTTTGCAACATACGTCACTCAAATGATAGAAAAGCATTGCAATGTATCACATAACGACGTATACAAACCATAAAATATTGACAATCTATCTCTTGTTGCAGGAGGGAAAATTGTTGACTTTCGAAATGGGCGCATTACTTAGAAAAAGATATAACGACTTTTTAGGTTCTTATTATGAGGCTGGTACGTGTCAATTATGAAGATAATACCGTTCATATAAATTTTATCCTAAAAAATTCATAATAATAAAAAAGTAATATATTTTTGCTACCATCATATTGTAATATAATAAAATGTAAACACACATTTTATGTAAAACACTGCAATAACCTTGAAAAAAGTAACAATTGAATTACCAATACATACGGGTATAATAATTGATTTATTTTTCAATAAAAGCAACATGTCTATGATAATTTAAAATGATAAAAATGTATTTTCCTTGTTCTAACGATATCTACATTACAGAGAGAAGCATCGTTATAGCATCCGATACGAATCTCAGCAAGATGACAGCTCTTTTAATAGCCGCAGGGTTGTGGCCACCGCCACTTGACCAAATGTGGAACGACACAATGACCTGGCAACCAGTGCCCTATACTTATCCCCCTAGAAACGAGGACTATGTGAGATTCTATATATATATCCCTTCTCAAAGCTCAAACATTTTTCTTTCTCTAAGAGTTTGCCCTGACCTATTTTGTTTCTGAATATCTGAATAAGACTTGATCGTAGGTGCTGTAGGTTGCGCTTTTTGCCTTGGAAGCATGAAATGTAGGATATAAAGTAGTATATCCATCCTGTAATCGTGTTGAAATATTAAAGATTGTAGGGAACCTCAACACGAATTATAAAAAAATAGAAGATTTATTATATAATTTAAAAGATACAAAAAGAACTTCTGATGGGATAGCAGATAAAGTTTTTCTAAAAATTTGAGCTTGTATGTTCATATAATCTGCATGTTATTTTTATTTATTAGTTTTTAAATAATACAACAACAAGCACACGTAACCGCGGCGCAACAGCTGTTTAGTAATATATTAAGCGAAATATAACTTAATTCAAGGTTTTCATTAGCCACAGTAAAACCTACGATTACAATTAAATACAATATATTCCACTCTAATTGTAATTGACTGTAATTAATTCGACAAGTATATTATTATGCTCCCTTCACCGTAAAACAAGTGGTATACATATTGGAAATAATTCGCACGTAAAAATATCAGAAATGCGAGACCCGGGATTTGAACCCGCTGCATTCGGTTTCCCAATCGAGTGTTATACCACTGGGCTACCGCTGGCTTTTTCATTATATTTATATCAAAATTAATTATATTTTCAGCTTCTCTATGAAGAAAATTGCCCTCGATACAGGCAAGAAAAACAGAGGTTATTAAAAGCTTTTACAGATGAAGGATTACTTGTGCCTTACAGGGACCTATTTCACAAGATTGCACACATGACCGGCACCAACTTCAGTACTCCTCAAGATGCGTACAATTTAAATAATTTATTTGTTATTCAGGTATTTTTATTTTTATATTTATTGAGTCATAAAACGACAGTAAATTATATTTTAAAGACGTCATTTTTGTAATTTTATATGTGTAATTAAGATAAGAATAATATTTTAAATATTAGGAATACTCTAAACATATAAAATGTTAACTAAGAAGTTGAAATAGACATTAACGATACAGAGGCCGAATCTATAGTTTTTAGAATTTTTGTCTGTCTGTCTGTTAACGCATCACAGAAAAACCACTGGAGGGATTTGATGAAATTTGGTATGGTCTAGTGATGTGCCGGATCGTTCATAGCTGGTTATTCGGGTCAATATACAGGATACTTTTTACCGCGAGAAAATGTCTCATTTCTGAGAAAAAATCAAAAAAGTATACTAATATGTAAAACCTAAGAATTTGGTTTTTGATCATCTGAACGCGGACAGAGCCGCGAGCAATGCTAGTATTTTATATTTCAGGACGATATTAAAGTTGCAAATCCAAAGTGGGCAAAACATGTGAAAAGAAAGCTAATGGACGTTGCTAGACTGGAGTACACAATGATGTTTCATAATAATCTTCTGAAGAAACTTAGTGGAGGTATAAAAGTAAACATCTAACAAAATTATTTCTTTTGCATATTTTATGCTATTAGCATTATTTTTGGACACAGTTATTGAAATTTGAAATGTATTTAAAATTGATATGTGCATTGCATGACAATATTAAGAAAATTAAGTTTGAAGTATGCAAGTATATAAAATTTTATAAACGTTGAAGGAGACATTTTTACATTTTACATTCAAATCAATTTTTGAAAATATATTTTTGTACCTATTTTTCCAATTGAAGAAAAATAGCAAATAAAAATATATTTTGTTTTAATGGTGTTGTTGTCTACGCCATTAAAATAAAACATATTTTTATCATTTTTAACAATAGCGAATTTTTTCCTTTCTGTTATTTGTATGTAGTGCAACTGTTTTTCGAGTAAATTACTACAGATCTTTAATGATATATTACAGGAGCTTTATTACAACAGATAATAAAAGAAGCTGTTCTAAACACGCAAGAACCAACAAGCCCTAAGGTGATAGTGCGGATAGGCACTCCTGTATCTGTAGCGGCGCTGTTGGCGGCTTGTGTGGCGCCGCCCCCGCGGCTGCCCGACCCCGGCGCGGCTTTACTGTTCGAGTTACACGAAAAGATACCTTCTACACAGGGGAAGAAGGAGCAGAATCCTTTAACTCACGGACAGCGGTTTGGTTTTAAGGTATCCTATATTTATTTAGCAGCTTTTTAGTGGCAACGATATCTTTACATGTATATTCCGAGAAAGAAAGAATAAAATGGATATTTTTTATTTTTAATAAATAAAAATATAATACTTTTACTGAAGAGTTCGAAAGTTGCAAAATCTGAAAATTTTTATTTCAGATATATTACTGGGACGATGATTCCGCGGAACCTCGACTAATGGAGGTGCCCGGATGCAACGCGTTCTGCCCATTGGACACTTTCACCGAAATTACTAAATATATCGTGTCTTATGATTATAAAAAAGACTGCACACTTGTTCCTACCACATAACTTATCCAAAGAGTGATTATAGTCTATTGAATCTTGAGCGAGATCTTGAAATGTGCCACTATTCAATATTTAGTTTGTGATTTCACAGAAAACCTTTTTATATTAAATACTATATAATAACTTTAAGTGTTTTTAAAAAAAAGATATTTGAAAAGGTGCACATTTCTGGACTATCCACTAATGGATTAATGTTAATAAAGTAACATCATGTATTTATAACATTTAAGGAAGTAATAAAATAAAAAGTTAAAAATTATTTACTTACCCTCGTCTATTTTGAGGCCTGTCTCATCCCGTATGATGTTCATCGAGAGATCAGCAAAGACCTCCGCACCCCACTGTTGTGTGCCACGTAGTTTTAGATATTCAGCTATAAGTGCCGCTATATGAAGATGGCAACACATCGCCTAAAAATAAATATATCAATTTTAACTTTGTAAATTGTCGCCTATGCGAATGTTTAAGAATTAGATTATGGATGGTAGAATACTGATTCAACTATAAAAAATGTTTGTATGTACGTATATTAATAAGATTAGCTACATGTCTCTTGAGTTTCTCAAAAGTTAGAATAGCAAGGTGAAGTCGATTTTTAAATATCGTCAAATTGAACTAAGTAAATCCCTAGGAGACCTTTCCATCTATAACGTTAGGGAGCTTTCAAAAAGGACGACATTCTTTAATTTAATTTACAAATAACAATATACCGGTAGGATATTTAAAAAAATGTTTGTAATTTTTAGTCTATAATCTACCTAAACTCTATTGGTAAAAACCCTATCGTATATCCACACAGTACTTTTTTAACTCGGACAAACACAAACTAAGAGCGGCGAAGGACTTTAATTTAGTAGTGATTAATGAAGGGGCATGAATAAAGATAAAAAATGAAAACAAAGCAGTGTAATACCTCATCATGGTCTCGCTCGCGCGCGTTGTGGTCAGCCAGCGTGGCGAGCCAGGCGTGGCGCAGGCGCGGCGTGGCGCGGCACGACGCCGCCAGCGAGTACTGCAGCTCGGCCAGGTGCACGCTGCCTGCTGTCGCACACCATGCAGGCGTTAGGGTCAATACACACGATTAATATTATATACAGGGCATTCCACGCCAATTCGGAGGGTTTCTAAAATGTTTATTTTTGATTTTCTTAATATTTTGGTATTTTTAGTACCCCTCAAAAGAGGCTTCCTGGTAAATTTTTAGATTTTTTGATCACTGGTTCAAAGCCGCTCCTTTTTTTTTTGGTTTTTTTGCTCATAACGTTATTAATAATAATGGATATTTTTTTTACAATTATATAAAGATGTAAGCTATTGTATAAAAAAATCACGCATATACCCTATTGGCTTCGCAATAAATATATTTGGATCTAGAGGTGGACGCTTAATTTTTGGAAATCAACCTTGATTACAAGTATTGTACTTATATGTATGTACTTTGTCTAAATAAACTTTTACGAGTATTTTTCAATGTCTTAGAAGGAAGAGGTTTTGTTCTTTTCAAAAAGAGGTTTTATATGTTACACAAAATTTTCGCCTATTGTAAACCTTTTCCTGATAAGTCCATTTCACTAATCAAAATAAAGATTAGCTAATAGCTATATTTTTAATGAAATAATTACCTAAGCTGAGGTTTTTACCGTAGATACAATCACATATACGCGACAACTAGGACGAATAATGCAATGTTTATATATGAGCTAACAGCAAAATATCTATTTTTTTTGTTTTTTTCGTACTAATAATACATGTTAAAAATAATTACCGGCCCCAGAAGTGCCTCCGACGCCTGCGAGCCGAGCCCGCGCCCCGACCACGGTGCGGACTCGACGCATCAACTCTGCTACTTCATTCGACAATCCTATTCAAAAATACATATTTAACTAAAATAAAAATTAAAAAAGTGCGTGTGTACTTAAGTACGCACGTAAGAAGTTATACTTCTTTGGCGTAACACGAAACGAACAAAAATAGCTAAAGATTTCATCCCGTATGTTACAACTCTCTGTAAAAGGAATGCACATGTCGCTTTTTGGCTTTCAGTGTGCGCTGCGCGCGCATCGCAATTATATAAAAATTTTACTCTCATATTTTTTTCCAAGCGTAGTAGTTTCAAAAGAAGTACAGCTTTAAAACTATGTATTATAATTCAATAACGTTCAATTATCACATACTATAATTCAATGGCGTCGGAATTCTTAACCAAGTTAATTAAGCATAAAGTATTTGATACATATACAATAGCGATTAAATTAAAAATACATGTACTAATTAAAACATTACCAGTTCCTTTCATCGCCTTATCACCGGTCGCAAAGCAATTTATAACGGATAGTGACTCTTGAAAGCGTTTGCAGTTAAGTGCTGTAGAGCTGTCCAGAAGTTTTGACACTGTTATGATGACCTAAATTATAAAAAAAAACAAATTGTATTAAAGATATCATTTAATAAAATCTAAATTTTAGTAAAAAAACATTGATAGAAATACGCTGAATTGAATGATTAAACCTTAACTAATCAACAAATAAATATAAACATTATCAGATATAGACTTATTTTATAGATTTTATTACATTTGGTGCCTACGTTTCAGATACTTTTCAGTCCACATTGGTTACGAAGGCCAAAATATACAAGATGGTGAAGAATTGTCCACTTTTTCCTCAACTTTATCTACAAGCGCAACATCTCAGTTAAATACATATCTAAAGGAATAAGTCGCTATTATTTATAATAAAAAGACCTTTTAAATAATTAAATGAACAAGCAGTACCTGTAAATGCACGCGAGTGAGGCTCCCGCCCGCGCCGTGCTGGAAGTTGGCGCGCATGAGGAGGTAGAGCGCGGCGGCGGCCTCGCGCCGCAGCACGGCGGCGCGCGCTGCGCACAGCCGCACCACGCTGCCCACCACGCCCGCGCACAGCGTGCTGCCGCCTGCACGACGCACGTATGTATGTATTCAGTCCTTTTTTTAACACCCACTGTTGGGCCCAGGCCTCCCTTCAATGCGAGGGGGATCAGGCCAACGCACGTATACGTCAAATTAATAATACTTTCACACTAAAAGAATAACATTTATTTATTTAATATTAACACCAACAAAATATACACTAACATAAGTACAATATTTAAAAAAAAAACTGTGTATGTACTTATATACGCACGTAAGAAGTTATACTTTGTTGCTTTGGCGTAACAGAACAAAAATAGGTAAAGATTTCATCCCGTGTGTCACAACTCTTTGTTTGTAAAAGAAATGCAGCTAACTTCATCATGTCACTTTTTAGCTGTCACATCGTAAAAATTGTACTCTCATAATTTTTTCTAAACGTGCCAAAAGAAGTATAACATCAAAAAACTTTAGTTCGAGGTGTTGTCTTAAATACACACATTTCAAAATAAAATCGATACAAATACATGCAGTTTTTAAATTCAACAATAAACACAAGCGTGAAGCGCAAAAGAGTGAAGACTATGATTGAGGTCTGAAATTAGCTGTCCCAAATGTCTTGTATCTTTGTTCGTTTCGATATATAACGACATAAGATAAATTTCTGAACAATACAAAAAAAAAATACTTTTTCGTTTTATACTTTACACCCTGAAAATTATTGTGCATCAGTGTCCCTGTCTATATAGAGATACAAAATAATTAATCTATGCGTGTGGAGCCGCGGGATAACGCTAGTGTCATATAAAATTTAGTATATAGCTATATATAAATTTTTATAGTGTGTTAATACTCTCAGACTAAAAGGATAACATAGACAGGACTGTGACTGGAACTGTGTCTGGAATGGTATTACAGTCAGTCTGTAGTTTTATTACGCATATAATAAATACAAGCACTAAATATCGCTACTTAATTGTTACACAAAAAGTGTTAGAGAAAATAATTCTATCACTACATAATACATATTATAAAATAAAGTTCCCGGCCAAGTCTGCCTGTCTGTCTGCCTGAATGCGATAAACTCAAAAACTACTTTACGAATTTTCATATGATTTGCACTAATACATGGAGTGATTCATGAGGAAGGTTTAGGTGTATAATCCATTAAGGTTTAATGTAGATTGGCAGAAATTTAACGATGATTGTTGAAGATGTCGGTAAAAATCACGCCGATTCGGAGCTTTATTGGTGTGCGCTGCCTAAACTAATAAAGTTATATGAAAACAATGTATCCTCTTATAAATATCTTCCTATTAAACTGTATCAACGCTATGTACGTACCTACATACGCACCCGAGCGAAGCGAAGGTAAGCCACTAGTTAATATATTAAACATTTTTTTTACAATTTCTAGAATATGTCAACTTAATTATAAGCTATAATAATATAATATATTAATTATAAGCTATTACGTTAGTTATGGCTTTTTATGATAATATCTTTATTTGACATTATCTTCGAAATATCAAGGATGTAGATTTCACTAATAAATAATGTTAGTCAACTAATAAAATCAACTTTATAAATACAGATTTAAAAAAAAATGCACAAGTATGTAAATTATTCAAGATCAGGTTTTAGCTCATTCCATGCAGTATATATTTAAATACTATTTGTGTTGTGAATATTTTTATATGTAAATATAATACTGGTGTTAATTAGGTATTTTAAATTACTGTAACAATAATTTAATGAAAAGTATAGTAAAAAATAAAATAAAATAAAAATACCTTCAAAAAGTGTTTCGGAGTACTGATTAATGTACGCCCTTAACGCTGCAAAGAGGTGTTTGTACAGAGTTTCACTCTGCGGAAATTGTAGGAGTTTAACATATGGCTTAGCCGCGACCCCGTCCGCCACGCCCAGCGTGCGCATAAACAGGCACGCGCGGTCTATGATGGTGAGGCCCACCTCCGTTGCTAGGCAACCGGCCGAGATAACAGCGTGCTCCGTCATCGTTTCGATTTCTGAAAAACGTTCACTACAATTAGTATTTATTAGATTTATGCTAAAAATATAGTATAATTTACAATATTTTATATAAAAGGAGTAATTAATAAAAATTATATGTTTTTGTTTTACATTTTAAATTATAAAAAACATACAAAAAGTATGTACCTATTACCTAACAAGCAGCAAAGAGAGAATAAATATATTTTTTCATTATATGTATTTTTTATGTCAAAATTATAAAAATTGCATATTTAAAATTATTACACTACGGGACCTAAACGCGCGCATTCGTTAGTGGCTATATAACTTATTCCCGACGTTTTGACTGACTTGTACAAGCCGTGGTCCGGGCAGACAGGGACAGTGGGAATAAAGTAGGTATATAACCACTAAGTAATTCACACGTTAAGGTCCCGTAGTGTAATTATTATAAAAAAACATATTTACCGTTTGTAACTGTAGTATTGACTAGATTTTCCCTGTTAACGGTGTTGTTCTTCTCAACAATAATAGGCGGCTCTTTGGAGAAATCAGGTGGACTCATCCTCGCAGGTAAAGTCCTTGCTTTTATAGGTTTGGGTTTCTCATTACAATCCGGTGATGGCACGCGAAGTTCTGAAAGGATCTTTTTTCTGCCAACGTATTGAAATTGTTCTGCACATATTCTGAAATAAACAGATTAATTATAAATACAGCATGTTATTTCTCACAAATATATGTACATATATGATACAATTAACACAAAATAAATACTATATGTTAACATATCTGTCAGTAAATTTAATAAACTTTATTCGAAAACAAACTAGATCTGATTATATTATAACATATGTACGTAAAGACTTAGTTACAACAATAATAAATGAAAATAATCGACTCACTCTAAAACATTAAAGAACGCTTGTTGTTGCGCTTGCGTGTGCGTCTTCCACCACTCGACGAGCCTATCCTCATCTAAGTACTTCAACACGAAGAGGAAACACAGAAGCACATCACGCACCTCCTCCGCCGACATTACGCCGAATCTACATGAAAAATAAGTACATATATAGGATATTTTTTCAGTGCTGAAGTTATTTTTATTTCTTCGTTATATAGTTATAAATGTTTTTTACCACCTCCTAGTGGTCAGTGAGTAGTTAAAATTCGGAAGTAATTCATAAAATTTTAGGTCTGTTTTGGATCGAGATTCTTTTGTCTAAATTACATAACCTTCATTAATAAATAGGGTTTGAAATGTAAAAGCAAACAAACGCTCCATATAAACATAAACTATAACAAAGTTGGAAGCCCAAAATGCGCAATATACATAACAAGGGATTCCTCTTCACATATTATTGTGTCTTTTTTTGCTATTTGATAAATGCAAAAAATAATTATAAAAATCTTACCTGTTCACCTGGTCACCAATTTCACTCAAATCTAATCGAGCATTTCGCGGTAAGGAATCTCCACCGGACATCGTCGATACCGATTCTAGAGAGCTTTGCGACATGTTATTTGCGTTATCTACAAACACAAATATTGTTTAAAATATTTACCATAAACTACAAATAATCCTACAATTAATATTATTTCAAGGTCTGATATAAAATCAAAACATGATTTACAGCAGAATAGCTACGAAATATTGTTAAATTTTTCTATTACGATATTGACAAAAATATATAAAATGAACGTAGTAATATAACAATTAACTATTATTTGATAAATATTTAAGCTTGAGAGTATAAGGCATAAGCCTACGTTTATTAAAAAATAAAAAAAATCACTATATATAAATAAATAAATCAAAAAAGGCACGGACAAAACATCCTTAGTATTTAGTAGACTAACAAAAAAAAAACAAACCTTTCCCATACATATTATTGGATATATTCGGTGGGTCTCTGAAATGAGCGGAGTTGCGGGCAGGAGTGTGATCGAAATGTAGCGTCAGCCTGTTCCTTCGAGGAGTGCTGTTTGCAGACGCGACCTCCTTCTGGACGTTAGCAAGCGATACGCCTGTTACGTCTCCGTCCACTCTATCGTTTCCATTCTCTATGGTCGGACTGGCTAGCGACTTAGTGACTAGACGATGTGCGTTATCTGAAGAATGATATTAAATAATCAATATTATTTAAAGGACAGTAACTTTATGCTATGGTATATTATAATAATTATTATAATAGACTTTTTTGTAGTAGTTTAAATTAATTTGCCTGTGGCTCCGCTCGAGTGGTGTTTATGTTGATACACGAACTAAATCTCACTCAAATCAGTTGATCCGTTATAGCGTGAGCGCTCCAGTACACTTGTACTGATAACTTTATCACATATAACAAGTATAACATAAACACAGTTTAAAAATGCATACAGTAGGTATCGCCTATAGAGATCGCCCATTAATTTTAATAGAAATGTTGTAAAATATACCCATTTCAATGGTGGAAGGTTTCGACGTTGAAGAGTTGTAGAGTCATGTCGTGGCAAGTTACAGCTATACCGGTCAAGTCTAAAGCCGTTTACAGAATCCTAATATTATACATATGATGTATAGATGCATGGATGTTTGTAACTCTTTCACGCAAAAACTACTGAATGTATTTTAATGAAACTTTACAATAATATAGCTTATACATCAGAATAACACATAGGCTACTTCTTACCCCGCAAAATGTATGAATCCCGTGGGATAGATGTGTTTTCGTTTTTCAAGAGGCGAACCCGAGCGAAGCGATTGTGAGCCGCTAGTGTTATATAAAGGTAAGTATGTTAGTCAGGTATTCGCGTCATTCGCGTCTCTTCAAGAACGTTTCGCACGATTGCCTTGTCTAGACAGCTTCGTTACACGGCTAAGAATTAATGGACATGACGACATCTTCTTGCTTATTTATACAAACGACCAATACTTGTTGTACTTTATAAATAGATAGTTTTTTTTACTCTATTATAAAAACAGCATTATTTCTAAGATTTATTTCATATTTAGATAAAATAAATCTTTTTAGTTTTATTAAAGTAAAACGTTAAATTAATACCAATAGAATTGATATTTAAAAGTCAATTATTCTGTACTAGAAAAATCTTACGATAAATTGGTCGTTTGGACAAATAACCACTAAGACGAGGATGTTTAACTTTTTTTTTTGCGTTACCTAAAACGATGGAGAGCCAAGGCGCATACAGCTGCGCGAGGCGCGCGCGCGTCTGCTTGGTGCGGTAGCGGTCGTCGTGCTCGTGCTTGGTGAGCAGCGCGCGCAGCACGCCCAGCGCCGAGCGCCGCTTCTGCGGGGCTTCCCGGAGAGATTGTTCTACCTGGTGGGATTGTATGTTGTAATTAAACAAGTTTTAGAGGAGTAAAATCACATATTGTATTCTTTTAGTATTCATACGTAATTTAATTTCAATGTTTAGAATTGATTTAGCAATAATTAAGTTAAACGTAATATGTGAATTCAAGACGACTTTGTTAACAATGTCAAGCAAAGAACAAAATAAAGTACATATCCTGTTAGTTACCTGTTTTAGGAGAATTCCGGCAAGAAAATGTCGCATCACAAACTCGTCAGTCAATTTTAATTTCGACGGGTCTGAAAAAGAAACGAAGTTTAAAAAAAAATAAGCTCTCAGTAAATTCAGCATTTTATAAAATTTAGGAAATAAAGTCTCTTACCTTCATCTGAATCTTTGGCTAATTTATTTGCCTGTAACGGCAAATTGAAAGGAACGTAATGTTCGTGAGAGCAAATTGTTTGTAAAAAGGTAAATTTAAAATCAAACAACGCCTTTGGATCGCATGGTTTAAATTTTTCCAAATATTTTTTCACTTGACGGAATATGAACCCCCGATCCATGAATGACAAACACGACTGAAAATAAATATTACTTATTAAATTTTGAAGTACTTAATAAAACAAAAAAAAATGTAAAATAAATATTATGAACTTCTTACTTTTAGAAAGTTTGCCAAATTTTTATTGAAAATATGTGTTTGAATTGGCTGCTGTAAAATGTATGCAGGTTCAACTGTGGATATCAGTTTATCAATATTTTCTAGGAGATCGCTGTGAAACCTTTCGTTACGGGACATCTAAAACATTATTTTATTACAGTACAATTGGTTTATTATTAGGAAATATTATCGATATTATTAGTAACAAGATATTGGCCACTTTTTTTACCTTAATTCGCCCAGTATTAATTAAATACTGCGCCATACTTTTGTTAATGATGTCGAAGAAGAAGCTGGAGTACTGCATGAACTTGTGGCTCAACAGTAAGTCCTGGTTGTTTGGATCCACGAACATATGCAATGGCGCCGTTAGTACGGTGTGTAGTTTGAATTCCACGCAGTTAAATACATACTGGAATAAGAAATAATGATTTAACATTTCGTACCGCATTTTAAATATTTAAGGCATCTCTAAATTGGTTATTCAAACAGTCTGTAAGCTTAAAATAAAATTGGTTATTCAAACAGTCTGTAAGCTTAAAATATGCAAGTATTAAAATGAAATAACAGTTTCCTTTGCAGCATCAAAAGTCACAAGCATTTTTTGGTTTTATTTTTTTTAATACAAATTTTACCTTAACATAGCTGTCCAGTAAATCTTTCCTTCCATAATCATGTATTATATGTACAAAATGTACTATTAATTTCACAACTTGGAAGCCCATATCTTGAGAGTATCCTTTTTCTATTGTCTGCAAATAATAATTAAAATTGCAGTGTGGAAAAGAATTGTAATATATAAACATATAATTATATATCTGATTTTGAAAATATATATTATATCTGACATAATATATATTTACATAGAAACATAGAAATTAGTTAAATCAGCAATACATTTTTATATATTTAGATCATTTGAATTTGGAGCTTATGTAATAAGTCCTAAGTTATAACCTTGTTACTTGTAACTAGTATAACTGCAATTTAATTCCTGAATACCATAAGGATTAAATAGGTGATTCAGTACCGTAGGTAAAAATCAGTAAGTGACGTCAGAGGTATAGCATGACGTCATAACAGATCGCGGGCGATGAAGACATTTATCTGTATGAGCCACTCGAAAAGGGCAGAGAGAATTATGACGACACGTTTGGCTCAGTTTGTAGTGACCCTACTTGTTGTGCCAGCGGTCGTGGGTTCGAGTCCTGCTCCTGCTGGGGGCATTCATTTGTGAATAAGCATGAATGTTTGTACTCCAGTCATGGGTGTTTATATTTATGACACATATGTATTTAAAGTTATATATGTATATGAAGTGTATCAACTATCTGGTATCCTTATGGATACACACAAGCCTCGTAGCTTACCATGGAACTAGATGGTGCTGTGTATGAATGTCCTCCTGACCGGTTTCGACGGCCAATATTACTGGGACTAGCTTACTGCGTAGGAGGTATAATAGTGCACAAATGTGCGTGCAGACACAACGTACACTCTGTATTCCTTATAGTCTTAAAGTCCGCTGGGACTACCCTTCCACACGACCAGTGACACTTAAGGCGCATGACCGACGGCTTAACGACCATTCTGAGGCACGGGGGTACAACACCACTGACTTCTTAACTACAGAAAAATTTCTAACACATAAATTCAATAATTAAACTTTCACCAATCTGGGTCTCGAACCCACTACCACTGTCTGAAATCTGCAACCGTAGATGCTAATCACTAGACCAACGAGGCAGTGAGGTAAATTCTCTAATACATACCATGAGATCAAACAGCTGATTCAATATCGTAGGCAAGAAAGCGACGAGTGACGTGAGAGTGATGGCGTGTGCGGCTTTGAGTGCGTTGCAGACGTCGTGGCAGGGCGGCGGCGCGGACGGCGCGGGCGGCGCGGACGGCGCGGGCGGCGCGCCGGGCCGCGCCAGGCGCTCTATCTGCGCGAACAGGTTGTGGAGGTGCGCGTCGCGCGTGGCCACTGTGGACTCCAGGACGAGCTGGCATCGGAATAGAGGCTTTTCACCTTCCACCCATACCACTTCTGGCCCTGTGTTCTAAATACATTGTTTTTATTTTAATATTCAATGAAAAATTGTGTCTGAAAAAAATACTATAGTTGTGATGTCTTTTTATTAATTACCTTGCTCCCCAATACAAACTTTCATCCCCACTTTCGCCTCCATAAGAGATGATTTCCGGGATAAAAAGTATCCTATGTCCTTCCCAGGGTCTCAAACTACCTTCTTATCGAATTTTATTTCACAAAACTCAGAAACTTTACCTCTTTATAATATTAATATGGACAGATTATGTACATAATTTAAAAATTTGACTTACCCCTTTGCCAAGTCCAAGAGGTTGAATAGACAAATATCCAGACGGTAAATGTGTGGCGATGGGCAAACTAACTAACTCGTCGATTAGTTTGTCATTTTTCAATAGTGGTACCCACGCGTATCTGAAACAATAAACATAAATACGTGATATATACAATTTGGACACTTCACAATCTAAAATATTTTAATTATTTTTTTTCCTGAAAAACTCATTTAAATGAATATCATATGATCTACATCTCTGTAAACGATATAGCATTTAGTGGATAGCCGTATGAATTTTTGATTTTCCACCTTTTGGATTTTTAGATGTTGAATATTTGGGGCTGTTAATATAAGAATAATATTCAAATTCCCTCATCTAAGAAAGGTCCAACAAGTTTTGAGGAAGTAGCATCATTAAAGTTGCATCATTTCCATCAGTTTACAGAAGTAGAAGACTAAAAAGTTATCACTTACCCTATACAAGTTTCCACATTTGTATCATTCTTCTTAGCGAGATCACAGGAAATATGATGGAAGGTGAACAGGAGGTGATGAGTGGGGGTGATGGTCGTTGGTAATCGAATCTTCACCTCATCACACCATGTGGGGTTTGTATTGTGATGTAACACAGAACAACGGTATTGAGCAGTCATTCCTGTACGCCCATAAATAGCCTAATAAAAACAAGGTTTTTTTTTATTTAAATCCAATTTAAAAAAAAGAATATTGGATCTCTTTTTGTTTAATAGGCTTTTATTAGTCTAATCTAATCTAATAGATCTATCTACTTAAAGAGGATTAATAAGTGTAAATGATTAATCTGATACGTTTTTTTTATATACTGTATTTCACCTCTTTCTCTAATATATTGCATTTTATAATATACTAGACTAAGGAAATACTTATACATCCTAAGTAAATCTTTAAAAATCTAAAAACATTTAAACTGAATTTGAAAAGGTGCATATAACTTTTTTTTTAACTTAAATTACTAAAAACAATTTACCTACCTGTAACGCTTTCATATCACCCGTGTCATTTTCTTTTAATTCGATAGAGCAGGCAATGTTCCTTGCTCTCACAAACATCTTTTGCGACTCGAAGTTTAACGATAGGGGGCGTACGTACAAATGGTGTATGAACGCTGCGTACGGCTGTTCGGCTTCCACGTTCAAAGTTGCTAGCTCTAATGTTAGAGGCGAAGCAGGTGGTAACGGAAATGGCTTCAATGCGGCGTAGGAGCTTGACATACAATCTGTAGTAACAATGGAATATTATATGTAACTAATATAGGTCTGTGGTCGTTATTTGAACAAGTTACTGTAAGTAATATATTTTTTTTACAATTAATTTGTTAAACATTTTGTAAGAAGAAATGTGTGTATGCTCTCCTAATTTAAAGTGCCTTAATGACCTGCATTCATAATTTTATATTATGCACATCTCTGGCAAAAAAACTTTTTATTATTATTAAATCCTAAAATATTTCATTAACATTCTTTATAAATTATAGCCTATGAATTACTCTGATAAATAAGCTACATTACTGTAAGTTTTCATAAAAATTCGTTCAGAAGTGTTTACGTGAAATAGTAGCAAATATTCATCCTCAGAGATATTTACGTCTATAATACTAGTCCTGCGAAAGTTACAGGTATGGTTCTTGGATTTTGCAAATGGCAAACGTTATTATTTACCTCATTATCATTTTATTATAGTTTTAAGCTAGAATTACATTAGGAATATTCTTTTTCCGTTCTCTTTTAATCACGTTTTATAAATAATAAAAATATTCATTCAAAATGTAAGGTATTTCTAGTAAAAAAATACATTACGCATAATGATAACAGATGCGCAATAAGCAGATATAGAAAGTACTAAGAAATACTATTTACGTCACTGTACAATTAAGTGCAAAAGTAATAAGCAGATAAATGGGCTAAGAGAAGGAGTTATAAGGATTCCTTTCTAAGTCGAGAATCCTAATTGTATTATCTTATAAAAATACTGCAACGTGCATAATAATTATTTTTATGCAAATGGTTTCAATGTTTACTTTATTATTTACATGTACTAGCGACTCACCCTCGCTTCGCTCGGGTTTGTCTCTAGATGCGTTTCAACGGTTCTTATGGAATAGACTATGTACACATTGTATAGAAAAGTAGGTAAGTACTTTAATATATATATATATATATATGTATGTATATATATATATAATTTCCCATACAAACTTCCATCCCCCTAAATTGGTACGGCGGATTGAGCGTGAAAAGGTAACAGACAGACAGATAGATAGACAAACAGAGTTACTTTCGCATTTATAATATTAGTATGGATTTTGCCCTCTTTAACATTTTACTGTACTGGGCACGGGCCTCCCTTCAATACGAAAGGGATCACGCCATAGTCCAACACGCTGACCAAGTGCGGATTGGCGGACTTCACATGTCTTTTGAAAACTTGCTAGGTCTTTTCAGGCATGGAGGTTTTCTCACGTTTTCCTTCACAGTAAGACAAATGGTTAACATGTTGGAAATGCTTCGCACATGAAAATATCAGAGGTACGATACACGGGATTTGATCCCACTTCAGCGTTTTACCACGGTTACTGGGCTACCACTGCCTATATTATACACATATAAAGTTAAATATAAATAATATTCATTAGACATTATCGGATTAAATTTCCTATCGTTTATAAATCTACTGAACGCATAAACGATTGAATAAAAAAAATATAGCATACCAAATGCAGGAAATGTAAATAATAATATTGTTTAATTACGGAAAACATATATATGCGTTCTTCTTGTTATTAGCAATCTATTATACAGAGAATCTTTGAATACCCTAACGATGTATATGTATCTTAATAATTATATAATAATATAGACATAATACAAGAATTTTAGTGTTTTTTACGTTTTTTAAGTTATTAATCATGTATATACAAAAAGTAGATACTCCACAGTATAACGCAAATTTTTGGCGGGATAATAGATTATTATTATATATACTAGCAATGCCCGCGGCTTCGCCCGCGTTCATATCGCCAAAAACCAAATTCTTAGGTTTTACATATTAATATACTCTTACATTGCAGATTTTGTATTTTTTTTTCAGAAATGAGATATTTTCCCGCGGTAAAAAGTATCCTATATGTTGACCCGGATAAACAGCTATTACCATACCAAATTTTATTAAAATCCCTCCAGTGGTTTTTCTGTGATGCGGTAACAGACAGACAGACAAAAATTCTAAAAACTATAGATTCGGCCTCTGTATCGATAATAATGTCTATTTCAATGAGATTTTCCAAAAAATATTTAATGTACAGATTCGGCTTAGTTACAATTTCATTATATGTATAGATAACATTCGCATTAGTAACGGAAATGGATAAGACAATATATGTATAATATACATAATAATAAATAAAAAATACGTTACACATTCTAATACGTTGTTTTGTATAGGGGAAATACCCAAAGATAATTAAAAGTTCACTCGATGCACTTAACCCGCGACAAATAAATAAACCATGGTCAATACAAATGGGTCTTGAGCGGAATTCGAATCCACGACCTCCGAGTCAATATTTCATAACATATTATATAAATACATACTAGGTATCTGCTCAACGCTGTGTTGTACGTGGATGCTGAGCCATCCCGGTATGACGGTCAATTTGGCTAATTTTTCCGGTTTTCGGTAATCTGATAAAATCTTCAACAAGTCCTCGTCAGACATCTTATTTGGCTCTTGACGGTAAATTGCCGGAAACTCCGGCGTTGTGTCCAAATCGTTGCTGTATAACCTAAATAATGTAAAAGTTTATTTTTAAAATAAAAATGATAATGGTAATAAAGAAATGTATGTATAAAGGGGGTTTATTTAAGTATCTACTTTTTTATTTATGAATATCAAAAAATATTATTTACTATAGTTTTAAAACAAAACAATAATTTAATATTGTTTCAGCTTGAAATATGAACATTACTTTTAATGAGCTACATAGTGCAATGATGATTAGTACCAACGATTTAGTTTACAAATAAATTGTATGTTTATTGGATATCAGGAATCAAAGATATTATTAGAGAGAAATACAAGTAGTTATGGCTATCTCGTGTATAAACAATCATATTTTAATGACTTATGCGTGATTACTCAAAAAAATACTGCAATGCGTGTGTTCTAATTCCTTTATATTTATTTACATATTATGGCCAACCCGCACTTGGCCAGCGTGGTGGACTATGGCCTGATTCCCCTCGTGCTGAAGGGAGGCCCGTGCCCAGCAGTGGGACGTTAAAAAGGGCTGAATACATACATATTATGCCTTTGTTTTAATTTTAAATGTTAAACATTTCTGATATATTTCATTAATTTTATCGTTAAATAATTAATGGAAAGAAATTTTGTTATTTTGTACACGATCTTAAGATATTAAAATAGTTAATTTGCATTCTTATCGATATAAAAATCAAAAAGATCGCTAATAAAAATTTAGCACTTTAGTAAAAAAGTACCTATTTAATGCTGTCGCATATTTTAAAACTACTTAAGAAAGATCAAAACTCTTGAAGGATACTTTTGTAGGCTCTTCTTTTGTATGTAAATAAAAAGGATTTTTTTCTCAAGTTTGACAAAAATAGTTTGGAAAGCTTTTTAGAGTTTCACTTCTTATCGTTCTTATCAGACTGGAACGAGGTAAGTGTTCAAGAAAGCATTGAAGTCTGTCTAGACTAAAGTAAAGCTTAAAAAAAATATAAAACTGTAACGGGATCTACGTACATATATGTACTAATATAAAATTATATTTATAAATAATATATATATATATTTTGATGGCATAAAACCATTTAATTTAAAATTTCAACAAAACAGTGATTCAATATAAACCGTATTCAGCGTTAAAATAAAGCATTTGTATGAATCCAATTAGTGTTAGAGTGGATTTAAATAATCTGTATAACAATTCAATCTAAAATTTTGGCATTTCGTAAATAAAATATCATCAGATAAACATTTTACCATTAATAATAATAAACTTTATAATGTACTAGCGATTTACCCTCGCTTCACTCCGGTGCGTCCCTAGGTGCGTTTTAATTTTTATGAGCGGAACCCTAATTCTTATTCTTAAATAAAAGTAGCCTAAATTACTCCTTATAACATCAGTTATGTACCAGTGAAAGTCTCGTCAATATCAGTCCAGCTGTTTCGGAGATAAGCCGGAATAAACAGACACACAAACAGACAAAATTTTTAAAAATTGTGTTTTACTTATATAAGCACAGTATATAATTTCCTATGCATTTAGTAAAAAGCTATTATTTTGAAATTACAAACAGACACTTCAATTTTATTTATCTGTATAAATTTATAGTAGTTACGCGATATTCCTCTGGACATATGTATGTGAAAACGTAATAGATCAATCTCGCGTCGCTGCCGATATGTTATCAACAGCCGGAACTTATCAACCGAATATTTATTTTGTTTACTATCATAATATTTGTACATAACATAAAACTGTATCGTTCATTGTTAACTTTACGCTTGTATCTTTTCTGTTTTCAACAAGTAATTGCTTAATTGTACATAAACGTTTCAATGATATCATTATTTTTATTTTATTTTGTAATAATAATTGTATAAATATAAACTTATTTGTACTAATCGTTATAGTATAACGTATGGGTAAAACAAATGAACTGACCCTAAAGCCCTAAGACCCTTCGTGCACGGCACGCGAGGATGGCGGTCCAGTGACGGAACGGTCTAGTGGACAGTCTCATACTTTTCAATACAAAGAATATTTTTTTGCCTGACACGGTCCTAGCACAGTCATGGTATAAGACGGTGTATTGGGATTCCTTAAGTCATATATCTAATTGAGTCTCCAAACTGTGATCGATTATTATTATTACATAAATATAATCAAATAGAATGCAAAAAAGGCTTTATATAATACAACACACATACTTGAATAAGGGCTTGGCAGCCCAAGCGAAGGGCATCCGATAGTTTCCCACTCTGTGTGCATAAGATTGTATGGTTTTGTGTACTTTGAGACCTAAGCGAGGATCCTTCGTAGCTTTCATGTAGGGCTCGAGGACCTGGCTGACGTGCCCTTGTAGGATTTTATCGATTTTCACTACTAAGAATAAATCTGGATGCGGATTGTTCACTGATATAAGTACCTAGAAAAATAATGTTTGTTAATATAGGTAAATTAAAGACTATTATTACCTATTACCTTAATATTATAGTATTATTATTTTAAATATGTACACCTCTTTTTGTTTACTTTTTAATTTCTCTTCTAACCTAAGGATGTCTGGAAAAAATCGATGACTAATGATAAGACCACCTATTCTGCCATTTTGTTGTTTATATTTTTATATCCTCTGTTCTGTATGTGTATGTGGTGTACAATAATGTATATTTTACTTTTTAATTTACTTTTTTAACATATAATTATGTTTTATTAAATTTCACATTTTGTCTTTGTCTCTTTCTAATAAAAATCCTAATGCTAAATTCAATTCAATTTTCTTGTTAATTGCTTCAAAGCGTCAATTCTTATTAAAAGAGAATGTATCGAAATGACGTAATAGCAACATATAGATTATAGGTAGAATTAATAATAATTTATGTACTTTATAGTCTTATAATGTTTGTCCAGCACATCTATAATTATATATAATTTAAATAAACTATGCTCGCTATTATTATCGACCTTCACGCTTGTATCCTGTCGACATTTACGTCGCGTAATGTGTTATAATATGTCTAACTTGCAATGGCCATTAAGGAAGCTGCGGTTTCGATTTCTGTACGAAATGCTGGTCATACAAGATATAAAACTTACCTACTAAAACAAGTTGATTTTGTACAATCGATCGAAAATCACGAACAGAGAACTCAATAAAAGAATGACGACAAAGAAAATAAAAAAAGAGCATGCGACATAATGTTTAGATAGATCAGTATTTTACTATTCTTAGTTTCATAAATTAGCGACAGTGATTGTAGTCAAAGATAGAGATAGAAGAAAGATACAAGTCGGAGAAAAATATATAATAAAATTAAGATCACGTTATGTCTATTTATTGTATATATTAAGGAGCTAGAATGTAAATTAATCAAAGTGTACCTGTCTCTTTGATCTGAACCATTCATCTGGTATTTGTTTAATGTCTAACTTAACATCGTAGCTAAAATTTTCAACTAATGACTTTGTGCACTCGTTCTCTTTGACTAGATCCTTCACGGCGGCATGGTTTATGTCGAAATGGAAGTTCTCTGTTAGTTTCTTGCCACTCCGGGCGTCGTATATGGCGAGGTGAGTAAAGTACGGCTCGACTTGGCACAGCAGTTCTTTATCACCATCTATTGGCGCTTGTAATCTAAACTTTAGACTTTCACATTTGAGCAATATTCTTTGGCCAAAATGTTCTCTGTAAAATTGAAAATACCTTTAGGACCTTACAACTTAGCCATCCTAATGACAATATTATATTTTGGTGACAATTTTTTTTTATTATATCCACTTTAGACGATCGATTCTTTCCCTTTAACAATGTTACTAATGAACTATCAAAACATACAAAATTATAAAAGTGCGCTAAATATTCAATAGTAACTATAACTTACTTGAATGGTTCTAGCTGGGGTTCCGGCGAAGGGGCCCTTTTGTAAGGCAAAGTGAAGATATTCGAGCGGCACTCATTACGTGCCGCCGCAATGGATAAATCAGTCTCGCGGGAATATCGCATTAGCAAAGGATTCATACTATGCTCCAGTCCTTTTAGAGTTCCATATGTGGGGGGAGGGGGTTCCGCTGTTAGGGATATGTCTGCATCTGTATAAATTTCATAAGCATACAGAGGTTCCTTTGGTATTTATAGTATTACATAACGAGACCTTTTATTAAATTATATTTTTTTAACAGAGGACTGTTTGTTACCTATTCTAGGTCACAGTCTATCTGTGTGCTAAGTTTTGTATATCCCTAAACAGAGACAGTGGATCAATCAATGTTTTTAGTTTTTAACTTTTGCATAATATACATTTTCCTGTTGGTCTCAATTACATTATAATAGCATTTTTAATTAATACTTTTACTTTGTGTTTATTAGTGTGATTAACACGTTAATCACACTAATAAACACAACATTTTGTTCGCAAGTGTGTATGTGTGTGTATTTGTGCGTGTGTGTGTTACTTGTTCAATTTGTAATGAATTGATCTTAAAGGATTTGAGTGAAATTCGAACTGGAGAGAGCGGGGCCCCAGCATAAATGAATACATCATACATTTTTATTACTAAGTCTTTGTAGATATAGTTACACAGTTATGTTATTCACAGAATATTATATTTTAATGTAACAAATATTAAGTAAAGTTTTTAGGAATCTTAAAATATATCACAAAAAAATTCAATCGTATTTGTGTTTTGTACACTTGTTGTTTTGTACTTAAATTATAAAAAGCAAAGTAGATATGTTTCGTTTAACAGGTTCAGTTCGTGTTTAAATAACATTGCCGAATAAAAAGTAACAAAAACAATATCTTCCACCCGATCGAGTTAAAGTATTCTTAATGAAGTTATGTTAGTTTTAAATCATAAGCAAAGAGGTACTCGTATATAAAAAAACTAGCGACTTATCCTGTCTTTACATACCTAGCAGTAATGTATATATTATTCCAGGTCATAAGCCCATGTGTGTAGTGTGTACTAAACTTCATTCAAATTCGTCCAGCCGTTTCTGCTTGAAGGAGTTACAAACACACACGTGCGATACTAAATCTATACATATAATAAAATTCTAACTGAGTCGAATCTGTACATTAAATATATTTTGGAAAATCCTATTGAAGTAGCCGAACCTATAGTTTTTACAAATTTTGTCTGTGACCGCATCACGAAGAAAACTACTAGACAGATTTTGATGAAATTTGGTATAATGATAGCTGGGTATCCCGATCAACATATAGAATACGTTTTACTGCGGGAAAATATCTCATCTCTGAGAAATCTATACCTAACGTTAAAACGTAATTAGATCAAAACGTGATTAGATTATTATTTAACGTCCCTAGTAGTAAATATGATTATTGCAATACCGATCTGCTTATTTAAATAAAAAATCAACAAAGGAGATCGTTAACCCGATTCCCATTCAACTGTGACATCCTTGCTATTGACCTTCCGTAAAAGCTGTTGTACTTGAATGTATAGTAATAATTAATTAGGTATCGTGCTATTACGCTCGATCATTAGTCATTGTAAGCATTTACAAAACGTTAATTATAGTTAAATGGTTAACTGTAGCGCCTAATCAAACAGTAACTCCCTAATTAAACGAAGTCAGGGTGATCAAAGTACTAAATGTTATTATTTTTAACGTAGAGAAAGAGTAGGTACATATAAAATAAAGACTTAGGTACTCTACCACTATTAAGTATATTTTAGTAATATTAAAGTCGCAGAAAAAAACCGTATATTTAGACAAAATTAAATATTTTGTATTACAAATTATATTTGTTTATATCAAATTATTATTATACTAGTTTTTGCCTGCGGCTCCGCTCGTGTGGTGGTAATAAGTTAAGTTAAGCTTGTTGAGTCAATACAGCGTGAAGAAGTACCTAACAAGCACATACACTCACAAAATTTCCTTTTTTTAATATTAATTTAATCATTTTATACCTATTAGTTTTTCTGATTTAATTTATACCATGTAAATTGTTAACAAAATTATTACCTTTATCTAGCACTTCGTCAGATTGCTGTGTCTCTTGGTCTTGGTTCTTTTTAAGTGCTGCTTTAAATGCATTGATCCAATCATTCATATCCTCTTCAGTTTCGGTCGCAAATGTATACCCTTTGTTGCCCGACATGCGTAATTCGAAACAAAATCGCCCTCGTTTCGCATTCTGCGAGGAAGTTAATAAAAAAATAGATAAAAAATTATGTATTTTACAGACGATACTAGCTTTTGCCGGCAGCTCTGCTCGTGTAATTTGTTTATGTATAATTGCTCTAAGGGTTGGTCTGTGATATCAGATGCCTTTATCCTTAGTCAATAAATAGACAAAAAAAATTAATCAGTTTAGATTGTCCTGCTAATTAAAGTTTTCAAACAAACAAACTTATCGTCTTTATAATATTATTATATTATTTTATATATTAGTATGGAATATGTATACACGAGTATTTAAAATAAATCTTATTTTAAAACGATTCTTGCAGAAACGGTACTTCAAAATCAGGTCTAATTGAAGCAAATAAATAGGTGTCATGTGAAAATTAATATTATTTAAAATTCATGCTGCTGGTAAAAGAATTTTAATATAATACAGTAAGTTCTCTAAATATGCATGAACGAGTATAATTTTTAATTAGGTATGTGACGAAGTGGCAGCGTTTTAAAAAGCGCTAACTGCTATGCCAAAGGTTACGAGATCAAAATCGTAATTAGTCAAAGTAACTGATAAGTAGGTAAAATAGATATAATTAAAATTAGAATTTGTTCATCTTATAGATATAGTATATATATTTATGACAATCAACCGTATAACTTATGTATAATTGATGCCTCGGTTAGTTATTTCAATAGCGTTATTCACGTCAGACACGAGTCTTTTGTTCTCTTTCAAATAATATAACAATATTGATATAAGTATATTACGATACTATTGTTGGCAATACTAAAATAGCCACTAGTTTGACAAAAGATAACAATTCTGTTAGTATAACATAGCATGAAATTCTATCTATAAATAATTCGATTTTATCCAAGTTCACGTTTCATCTAAGATCTATTTTAATTAAAAAAATATACGTGTCGAATTCAGAACCTACTCATTTTTTTTTCGTCGGTTAAAAATTAATAAATAATAATAAATTAGGTACCTATGCTTTATTCGTTTTAGTTTTATAAATTACTAGCGACTCACCCTCGCTTCGTTCGGGTTCGTCCCTAAGTTGATTCCCCATACAAACTTTCATCTCCATTTTCACCCCCTTAAGGGATGATTTCCGGGATAAAAAGTATCCAATGTCCTTCCCAGGGTCTCAAACTATCTTCTTACCAAATTTCATCTAAATCGGTTCAGTAGATCCAGAGATTACCTCCTACAACGTCATAAACTCACAATTCACAAACTTTACCTCTTTATAATACTATAGTATAGATTTACATACAGAATCAACAAAATGAAACAGATAAATAAAAAAAATAATAATTGCGAAGTAGTCGCTACGATGTTTTATGTATGGGATCTTATAAAAGACGAATGATGAAAAGAAACACGTCCTATAAACTTGTAAAATGACTTAGGAAAACGGGTGCGAGTTCACTTGGTTACGCTCTAAATGCAGCAAAATAAAACTAAGTCTGCATTTCTGAACAAATAAGGCGACTTTTTAACGACTATTAGAAAATTATTCAGTATTTAAATATATATTCAGTATTTAAATTTATATTTATAGATATAAAACGTGTGAAATATTTTCATGATGTCGCGATGCTAATTATAAATAAAATTGACTTAAGCTAATTATAGAATCATGTCGGACATAAATAACATAATACGTTGTACAAACACACCTTAACAACTTCAGAGCAGAAATCCATGACAATAGTAAGTTTGGTGTCTGTTTTCTTTTCGTCCTTATAAACTTCAAGTATATAGGCACCATCTGCTTCTCTAACCATTGAGCAGTAGCGTTTTTTAAACGATTTAGAGGCAAGATTGCTAAATATTCTATCTGAGCCGATTTCGGGTCCTTTGAGCAAATAACCCTCTTTTGTTCCAACATCAACCTTTGCATGAGCTTCATGGTCACTATCTGTTTCAGTATCTATGTCATATACTTCTTGGGGCAGCTTACTGTCTATTGGCCTGGTGAAAATATTACTACATGCTTATTAAAGTACTAGGATTGCCCGCGGCTCCGCCCGCGTTCAGGCGACAAACAACCAAATTGTTAGGTTTTACATATTAGTATACTCTTAAATTACAGTTTTTGTATTTTTCTCAGAAATGAGACATTTTTCAGTGGTAAAAAGTACCCTATATGTTGACCCGGATAACCAGCTATCACCATACTAAATTTCATCAAAATCCCTCCAGTGTTTTTTCTGTGATGTAGTAACAAACAGAGAGACAGACAGACAAAAATACTAAAACTATAGATTCAGCCTCTGTATCGATATAATGTTTATTTCAATAAGATTTTCCAAAGAATATTTAATGTACAGATTCGGCTTAGTTACAATTTTATTATATGTATACATTAACTAGACCTTATACATTTAATGACTTTTTAAAATCCCATATGCAGTACATTTATTGTATACAACATGTTGTATTATTATTTTATTGTTTGATAGTGGAATTATAAAACTGTCCAATCTAAATTTATGAAAAACTTTCCATTAATGTATGGACTACATTATTATTTACAATAAAAAATTAAATATCTCAAACGAGTTTTTAAAGAAGAATCATGTTATATTACGTAAACAACTTATAAGATTCTATATGCTATTTTGCATACAAACCACTTTTTTTAATATGATCTAATTTATCTATGTCAATAGGTAACTAGGAGTGATAGGCAAAATTCTTAGAAGCTTAATAGCATGTTATGTTTATCATAGGAATGTACCACATTCAAAATAGAAACAGTAATTATTATTGTTCTAAGTATTTACCGCATGTACTCTATTATGCAATAGAGGAAATGAGTCAGTTGTGTGATAGTGGGGTTTTAAAAACAGAATCTGTGTAAATGTTTGGCCATGAAAATATGCTAATTATAATGCTAATTAAAATCCAAGTAGAATATAATTTATATTAGATGCAGCAATATTTCAAAATTTGACCTAGGTTTGAATTCACCTTTAAATATTTGTTTCAAAACAATTTTTAATTTTATAAAACTATTGCAGGTGCTTTGATATTAATTAATAGGTTATATTCATCATACTGAAAATAATAGTAGTAAAGGAACCATACAGGACCATAATGAGGAAAACTTACCGAGGTAAATTGATATAAGATCCAGAATAGCTACTATATTTATAATGTACAAGGTTCCAACTAGACGCATAACTAAGTAATGCCTGTCTTGTCAGTAACGGACATGTGGCTGCTGTCCTCACATCAGGCACAGCAGTAGTCACAGTTCTCCAACGTCGAGGAAGAACTACACTCTACAATATAAGCATGATCATGAAAATCAATAAAATATACAACTTACTACTGATTTTGGACACTAGTTAATTTAATTATTTTTAACAATTTTAGACAATGATTTATGTTATTATTATAGATACACAATACAGAACTGCCTCGGTGGTGTAGTGGCTAGCATGTACGGCTGCACATCCGGAGGTTCTGGATTCGAGTCCCGGGTCGGGCCAAGTTTAGTTATTGAGTCTTTCTGTATAGTAAGTCTCAGTAACAGCCCGGAGTTGGGAAGTTGGCGGTGTTTCACCCCCGTGCCTCGGATAGCACGTAAAGCCGTCGGTCCTGCGCCTTAACTCTCACCAGTCGTGTCGAGTGGTCGTCCCACCGGAGTATGAGAGTGATAGGAATAGAGAGTGCACTTGTGTCTGCGCGTACACTTGTGCACTATAATATCTCCTGCGCAGTTGGCTAGTCTCAATGAGATTGGCCGCCGTAGCCGGAATCGGCTAGGAGAACATCATAGATACAGATAAATAATCAGGTTGTGTTTTAACATTTTTGATTAAACTATCTTTTTTAAGAAAATATAATATAACAGCATTTAAGCAGTTAAATAAAAATAAATAAAACTTACAGAAACATCATCAGATGGGTATAAGAGTATATCTCTTAATGGATCATTCAGTAGTAAAGTTTTATTTTCTTGAATATATTTTTCAAAGTCAAGGACATTGCTTTTGTTGCTTAATACATTCTGAAAGAGATATTTTTATTAACTATTTGTATATTATTTAGAAAAAAATTATATTTTAATTGGGAATTTAAGTAATATATATATATATATATATATATATATATATATATATATATATATATATATAAATATATATAGGGGAATGAGGGGGGAAACCAGATAGGGGGTGAAAACAGATAGTTCCTATTTCATTGCTCCACGTACAGCTGTCTCATTCTAGCTAGTGGAGAAATACGCGCGAACGCTTACTCAGTGCGATTGCAAATCGCGGCGACGGTATTATCTCGGCGTGTGCGTCTTTATAACGAAATTTAAAAACAAGGGTAAGTTATCTAATATTTAATTTTTTTTAAAGTGTTATTATTAAACTTAGCTGTGTGCTATTATATACAGTTGTATTTTTTAAGAAGTAATACATATTAAATCTTTGAAAACGGTATTGGGTGTTGCTATGAGTGTAAACATAACCTGTTAGTTATTACAATTTCAAACATGGTACTTGTGGGGTATCAGCGGACGGGGTGATTCCGACTACCCGATTTCACCCCGATCGATTTTATATGTAGGTATTGTGGGTGTTTGTTTTATTCCTCTTTTTAATTACTATTTATTTTTTACAGAGTGCGAGCGACAACATGCCACGAGCATATGTGAAAAAGTCAGATAAGTTGCAATGGTCGGAGTCAGACATGCTTTTAGCCCTAAATTCGGTGATAGAAAGTAGAATGGGATATCTTTTAGCGTTACATAAAGTGTACCCAAAAGTTCAAAAGGCTTTAATAGAGCTGTAGTGTCATCATTTTTTAATGTTTTAGATACCATTTATGCTAAGCATGCTTTGAATCCCACGCAAATTTATTACATGGACGAGACTGGATTGACCTCTGTACCACAATACAAACTTAAAAAAACCGACTTCCAGGCACTAAAATGTAAAAAATAACTAAACGATGTTTTTCATTAAGAATAGATACCTAATCAGATATTTTCGAATCCGTAAAAAGATGAATAATAAAACTATCAGGAGGATTCGGAGTCTTTGGTTTGAGGCGAAAAGTACAGTCAAACTAAGTCCACAAATGAATGGTACCAATGCACTGATTGACTTTAATGGTCTCACGAAGTTGCATCGGTTGTTCTGAGCAAGAAATATTATTTTTTGTATGCAAAAATTGCGAATAATTTGAATATTTAGTTTTATTGTTAGTATCTGTATTCACCCATAGAATATAAAATACCTATCCGGTTTGACCCATAGGTATGGGGTGAATTCGGATTCATAATTTTTAATTAAAATTGTTCTATTTTATAGTTATTAAGATTGATCTCAAACATTTTCATACTAAAGTTATGCCTAAGGTATACTTAAACATTTATAATATTGATTATCTCAATAAATAACATAGTGATTTATTTATTGTGTCTTCTTCTTAACTATCCGGTGTCCCCCCACCTTCCCCTATATATATATTATAGTAATACCAGTATAACAATCCCATTAATATTATAAATGCAAAAGTTTAGATGGATGGATGTTTGTTACTCAATCATGCCAGAACGGCTGAAAAGGGTCTCAATGAAATTTGGCACAAAGATAGATTATAGTCTTAAATAGTACATAAGTTATTTAATCTGGGAGAAATGTATGATTCCCGTGGGATAAATTTGTCACTAGAGATGAATTTGAGTGAAGCTAGAGTGAGTCGCTAGTAACAAATACATACTTATAGAAGCTTGAATCTCAAATGTATAAGTATGTAATTTTTAAATGGTTATAAGATTTTTAGTTTTTTATTAACCCAAAAAAGCTTTTCTTACTTAACTATCTTACTAAATTTTTGTACTTAATATATATGAATTACAAATATTTAGTTAGATAAACATTTTTCTTTTAAAGCAGTCTTATTACAATATATACATGTTATATTACTGATCTTAATGCAAGACTAATTATAAAAAATTAAAACTTTAAATTGCAAATATTTCTTATTATTTTTTAGTTATTTGGTTTTCCTTAATAAGTCAGTTACAATATTTTTCAAAATTATACTATCAGTTTTAAAGAACAAACAATCCTCAGAATTTTGAAGTTGCAAAATTATTTTTATTTGTAATAACTAATAAGTTTAAAAATCTGAATTCGTAAGATGTTTATGGAACAGGTTTTTTATACTATGTTTAAGCTGCTACAGCTTTCTAAATGACGAAGACGTTAAAAAGGTCAACATAGAAAAGCTAATTTATAGATGTCTCATTTAGGTAAATAGAAAGCTTCGAATACATAATCTTATTGGTTTTAAGTAAATATATTTACCTCATACTCAGCGCCATCCTTTTTATTCCTAGATATCACCGGAGGCATTTTCAACTAATCCCAATATAACATTGGGGTCCATAAAACTTGTAACGATGAAAATTCGAAAATTATTCTGATAACTACTTTGTTTACATTTTAAACAAATTTATCACTGACCATAACAAGAAATGCCGAAAACTGTATGGATACGATTAATGATTTGACATTAGGTGTTGGTTTTTCTTCCGTCAAATTTCGATTCACAGACTTCAAAGAAAACAACAGATAAAATATTGAACTGGTTATTATTATTTTATGTAATGTTGTCTTTTTCTCCCGCCAGATGTCGCGATCATTATGATCTTCAAATCTTGTAAATCTATAGCGTGGTGGATTTTATTTAATTTTATTTAAAATCAAATTAAATGAGCAAATTATGCAGAGCCAGGTTGCAAAGAAAATGGATATCATTTGTTCCCAAACGACAAAAACTCAAGAAATGGTGAGCTAAAGCAATAAGAACCATAATTGGCGAAATCACTATTTGTATCTTTATATTTTAGGCTATGTAAACATTATTTTAGAGAAGTGTGCAAGTGTTTTTATATATTAATTACAGAGTTTCATACAAACTTTTATCCCCCATTTTACCCCCTTATGGGATTGAATTTCGAAGAATACTAAAACACGTACTTAATTCATTGTATTGAAGAGTATTAATACCAAGTTTCAAGTAATTCTGATCATAAATAATTCTTTGCTCATGTAAGCTTTATTACCCCCTTTTAGCCCTTTGAGGGATAAATTTCGAAAAAAATGAAATAAACATATTTCTTATTTTTTATCTTAAAGCTAAACACCACTTTCTGTGTTTTTTACGTTAAGAATGACGGGAGTATCTTTAATCCTCTATTTTACCCACTTAGGGGATGAATTTCGAAAAACTTCTTTTTTATAGGATGCCTTTATCATAAAGCGGTTTATGCTGTGTGTTGATCCATCAGTCAGTCAGGAACAACGCAAGAAGCACCTCTCCTTCTCAATTCTTCCATCAGCACATTGCACAGGTAAGATGCGAACACAATAGAAGCAAAAAAAAACAGGTATGAAAGAGTCATCATAATAAATTTCTTAACCACAGACTGAATGTATGTAAATAGGCGATACGTGTAGCGCCCTCCTTTCGAGAAATCTTCGCCATTGTATAAATTGCAGGTTTTAATTTACAATCAGAGATGCGCAAACTAGGTCCTGGAGTGGATTGAACATGGATAGTTCCTTTCTATAAAGGAACTATGTTCACGAAACATGTTCGCGGAACTATCTAGTTCCGATAGTTCATCCGATCCCGATCGTTCCGATTTTAACAGGTTATCACTGTCATCGGTTCCTGAGGACAGCATAGCGGGAGATATAGTTTTAATTGACCGACTTAAAAGAAAAGGAGGTTATCAATTCGATACGTATATGTATATAATATTATTAGAACTGCAAGATATTAACATAATATGATATATTAGGGCTTCGAAGCAAATATCCAAAATTTTATAGGTGTATAGATGTATATATGTATGTATGTTTGTTTGTTTGTGTGTATGTATGTTTGTCCACGCATTTCGCTAAAACTACTATTCCGACCGACGTGATGATGCTTTTTTATTTGCTTACAATTATTTTAACTTAGCGAATAGTAAGAATTTCATCAAAATCGGTTCAGTGGTTTTGAAGATATGGATAAAAAAGTGTATTTTTTGTAATTACTACTTTTTACAAAAACTATTTCAGTTTTTACTTAAAACTAAAAATTACGAAATAAAAAAGGTTTTTAAAAAAAATTAAACCAACTTCAAAAAACTATTATGGTGCTTTCGCGCGCAATGTGAATCTAGACGAACGCAACAAAGTACAATAATATTGTGTCAAAAGTGAATAAAGAATGTTAAAATTTAAAAATATATTATTAATGTTTTAAAAGATCAAAACGAAAATCAGATTTAATCAATGAATTATCGACTTTAACACACAGTCAAGTAGGCATATTATTAATTGTAATAGCATAGTAAGAGATGACATTATATTGCGAATACTCGCACACGCACTAGTCTACAGTAGTTTACTCACAGTACCTACGCGATATAATGGCGCTTCCACACAGCAGTGCAGCAGATAATATCACATACCTAAATTTTTTTAACATGAAATAATACTTTCTTAGATTTACGCGAATGTTTGACATTTTTAAAATAAAACTATCTTTTCGGATTATTTCGCGGATTTATTTTGATTTTTGGTTCCCGACGTTTCGAATGCTTTACAGCATCCATGGTCACGGGAGAGACTGAGGTGTTACATGTCTTAAAGATATAGTTGTTACAGACAGCCTACCCACAATTAACAAAATGAAAATTGCACCAATTACATTACAATATTTTTAACTTTAAACATTTTTATAATTTTAATTATAATTGAATATGGAAAATTATTTATTTAATTTTTGCTATTATTTTTATAATTATTACAATTTTAAAAATATTAATTAGTAATCTATATTTAGTGTTGCCATTATTATATTTATAACCATAAATAAAAAATATAAAAAATATAGTATTAATTATTAAAGCCATATAATTGTTCTATGTGTAATTTAAAAAGTTAAAATTAATTACGGATAATCATTTTAATTTAGTTTGCTATTATTTAAAAACAACTTACTAAGCAACACTATTAATATATACTTTTACAAATGAAAAATATTAATCTGATAAGCTGTCATTTTGATCTACACAGTATGAACTTACTACATCTGCCTGTCTGTTATGTTTATATTTATTATTTGATTTTATTATATTAATAACAGGATCCCATGACGATGGTAGTACCCAGCCATCTTCCCTATTGAAATTTGGATGTTTTTTAATTTCTATGGCTTCTCGAATCATTCTAGGGCGATATCGGTTTTCTTTCGCCAGGATTTGAGGTCTATCGAAACGAATATAATGGCTTGGGCGGTCCTGGCTATGTTTGCAGACAGCAGATGTTGTATTGCGACGGTGCTTCACATCAGCTATGTGTTCTTTGACCCGGGTTCTAATGGATCGTTTTGTTTGTCCAATGTAAGAGAGCCCACAATCACAATCAAGCTTGTAGACTCCTGCATCTTGTAGCGGGATGTGGCACTTGACAGGTGGTAAGAACTGACTAATTTTCTTTGGCGGCTTGAAGTAAGTTTTAATTGAAGCTCGCTTTAGAATGTAGCCAATCTTGTCAGTGACTCCTTTCATGTATGGCAAGACTGCAGGGACGCGCTCGACTGTGGCTGGTTTCACTCGGTCACTGTGACGCAGGCGCGGCACTTGCAGCTTGTTGTCACGCAGAACTTGCTTGACATGTTGCAGTTCTCCGGCCAGGTGTTGCTCGTCACAGATCCCGCGCGCTCTCTGAAACAGAGATTTTCCCACGGTAGCTAACTGTGAAGGATGGTGGTGAGATTCACCGTTCAGGTACCTATCAGTATGGGTCTTCTTTCTATACACAGTATGACTCAAGGTGTTATCTGGGTTACGTTTAACTAATACATCTAGGAAAGCTAAGGTTTTGTCCGATTCTAATTCCATTGTAAATTGAATTTTAGGATTTATAGAATTAAGGTGTTCTAAGAATACAGTTATTTTATCAGAAGGTAATATTGTAAAAGTGTCATCTACATACCGCTTGTAGAAACGAGGGGTCACGGGTGATGTGTTCAGAGCAGTCTCCTCGAAGTCCTCCATGAAGATGTCGGCTACGACGGGGGAGACTGGCGAACCCATGGCTACTCCATCCACTTGCCTGTAGAATTCACCATTCCACAGTAGATAGCCGGATGTTAGGCAGTGTTTTAAGAGTTCAATGTATTCTATTGACATGTTGTGATCTAGTAGCTTCCTAGATATTATTTCAATACAGTCTTCCACTGGTAGGCTGGTAAATAAAGACTGTACATCGAAACTAACCATTGTTTCATTGTCCATGAGTTTTAGGTGTTTAACTTCATTGACAAAATGGTAAGAGTCCTTTGTGAACGCTCTTGTTAATCCTCTGAGTGGTGAGAGTACTTTTGCTACTAGTTTAGCCAATTTGTAAGTCGGTGAGTCGATTTGACTCACAATTGGACGTAGCGGAGCGTTAGTCTTGTGTATTTTCGGAAGTCCATACAACTTAGGTGGTTTTGCACATGATGGAATAAGATTTTTAACATCAAGATTTAATGTGTCGGAGTGTTCCTTAATTAGCTTTTTAGTATTATTTAAAACGGTGGTAGTTGGATCCGTTTTAACCTTTTTGTACGTGCTCTCGTCCGACAAAAGTTGTTTTATTTTATCATTATAATCTGATGTATCCATCACAACGGTTGCGTTTCCTTTGTCTGCGCGTAGAACGGTGATGTCTGACCTATTGCGTAGGTTCTTCAACGCTAAATACTCTTGTTTATTGAGATTTGGTTTGGGCCTAGTACTACGACGTAATAAAGACGAAACATCTTGACGTATGGCCTCCATATCCTCAGTTTTCATAATATTTTGGGCCAGGGCATCTTCAACTGCGCAAATAATGTTTTCATAAGGAATGCGCGTAGGCGTTACAGCAAAATTCAAACCTTTATTTAGTACCCGAATGGTAGGTTCGTCTAACGTTTGTTTTGACAGATTGACAACCCGAGGTCCGCACGAGTGTGTATCTGTGGTAGACGGGCACGTTCCGTTATACTCTATGGTTTTCTTTTTCTTTTTGATGTTTAATTTTTCAACGAGTTTTTGATATTTTAAAATATGTTTAATTTTGCACTGATTATATTTGGTTGTTTCACGCTTATTTAAAGTGTCAATGCAATCGTTGAAATCAGATGGTGTCAATACTGTCTTAACAATATTAGACGTCTGTTCAATGTCCCGGTCGTTTCTGCGTAGATCGCGACGATTTTGTCGAATCACTGTCCGTAACAACTTAAAACTTGCCTGGTTTACGATCTTAGCGCTTCCTCGTATGTTCTTTTTGGAAGATATTTTCACACACGTAGGAATGAGACG